TTGTCGGGGGCGTTGATGCCCGTTTACGCTTGCGATTCTGGCAGTTTCGTGGACCGCCTCGTTTACTAGGAACATAGCAACATATCGTATCCTTGGCGACACAGTTGGAGCATCGTTCCTGGCCGTCGCAACGCACCCGCAACGTCCGACTGTCGGGACTGTGAGCGCTTATAGTTATGAAAACACCAGTGGCAGCAAAACCTACCACGACAGGCAGGCGACCTTGACGGGGGGCTTGCAGAACCTGCGATGCCCTGGACGGGAGACATCAACGAATGTCTTGGGCGATCCCATTGTACGAGAAAACCAAGTAAACTAGTTACTAGTGGTAATCGGACTTTCAGGTCCGAGAGGAGGTGCTCGTCGAGGCCACAACCGATTTATGCAAAAGCCGGTGGCGCAAATCCCGGGCTCAGCAAACCCCGGTTCGATCGCCATGGACCCGCGGTCGGCTCCTGTTCCCACTTCTGCCTTCACTTTATCGAGATCCAGTGCGGGAGATCGTATGATCCATTATGGAGCAGAAAAGCTCTCTGACCCGTACTTCATTGGTGTCATGCTCAACTCTGACTCGCACGAGTTCAAGCAAATCCCGATACCAAATCCCTACTAACCTTTTCCCTCCGGCCAACTTTGCGGGGCGAACGTTATCCGGGGGCCTTTGCGACTATGCATGTAATATCGGCCGGTCTTTCCCATTTGCTGCAACAACAGGGGCAACACACACAGCAGAATAATAAGTGCGAAAAGTACGACTAATGTCCGTGGCTAGCTGCGTCGCTGCATGAAACTGTCCGAGTGGTCGCCCCAAACCGGTTTTTGGAATTGACTGCAGAGCCTACAATCCCGTGCGCCACTGTCCACAATGTCGCCGTCTATAGCTGAGAGGTGTCGGTGTGGTATACCTACATCTCCATTTTTACTATGACCAACAGCAATGCTATATCAATATCCAACCAAAAAAGTAAGAGATGCTGCAAGAATGGAAAGTCCGAAGAAAGAAGGGAGGGAAGGCTTTTTTTTGTCTTTTCTTTTACGATGTCTACCCGAAAAAGGAGCCTGGTAAGCAGATGTGTGCGTTCATTCAAAGAACTCTAATGTACAAGTCGAACTTCATCAATATCTCGTCATGAGAACCTATCGGGTTTGACGCGGGACGGAGTGGAGAGGAACAAGGCCGGTTTTCAATGAACCGACACATCGGGGTGCTCTAGTTCTCCGAATCCACGGTGTTCGCGATCTCCAAGGGAGTCGAAAGCCCAACTCGGTCGACAGTGCGGGTATACTCAACCCCTCCGTTCACGCGGTCTTCCCGAACGACGAGGTCCTTTCGGTTGGTGTCGACCAGCAGGCGGATGAGGTCGGGACGCATGTAGTGGCCGCCCTGGGTGGAACAGTTAGCAAGATGTAAAGAATGCGCCCGGAGGGTCACTTACAAAGTCAGCCAGGGACTTGGAGAGATGGCATTCATCCAGGTCAATCTGTAAAGATGTGAGCTTTCTGCACGTCAGTCGAAAGGGGAAAGTAACTTACATCAACAAACAGGAGTCCTTCGAAGTCCCTGTCAGGGTGAGGAACAAGGTTCTGGCCGTCGGGGCCGAAAATGCGACCGTGACCGTTGTAAATGTGGGGATCCTCCAGATCCTTGCCAGGGGGAGTGTTCAACTTGATGCCTTCGGCGGTGATTGTTTGCCAGGGCGCCAAGGTGTACGTGCCGGTTTCGATGGCATAGGCGGGGGTGACAAGCTGCGCAGTCTTCATCAGCCCTCAGACATCAAAACAAAGAAGGATTTTCAGAGGAGAACTTACGTCCGCATTGGCCTCCGCCACGTTGGTGAAGGGGTCCGGGTACTTCAAGGTCTCCTTACCAGGGTAGAGTGGCCAGGCAGCCACGTGGACCTGCTCACCCAAAGAGGCTGCATACGCCTTCATGAAGGGATTCATGTTCTCCCAGCAGTTGAGGTGGCCGACGCGGCCGATGTCAGTCTGGATGACCGACTCGGTGGTGTCACCGGTGCCGTCGCCAAATACCAAGCGCTCAACATGAGTGGCTCTGATCTTGCGGCGGTGGTTGAGAATATCGCCAGACGGGGAGATCATGACCTGAGTGGTGTACAGACTGGCCAAGTCCACCTCCGAGTAGCCCAAAGACACGTAGATCTTGTTGGCGCGGGCTGCGTTGCGGATCCGGCGCATCTCGTCCGAGTCGGACGGAAGGCTGTTCTCGCGGTACTTCTTTAGAAGAGGCAGGCTCTCCTGGTAGTTGACCTTCCACATCCAGTAGGGATATCCAGGGATCCCTGTTTTAGGGTTAGCCAAGAGTCTATGATACATTCAGGTGGGAGGCCTTACAAAGCTCGGGGAAGGCAATAAACTTGCATCCGGCCTTGCCAGCCTCGTCAATCCAGTGGATGGTCCGGCGGACGGATTCCTCCAGGTTGAACCAGCCAGGCTCAGCATTGACTGCTGCGGCCTTGTACTTCCTCAGGACGGGAGCCATGGTTTGATGAGTTAGGTGGTTTTGTTAGGAGAGATGTTGTTGAGATGATTGATGCTGTTGTAGATGATGGGATTCCGAAGAAGAAATGCCTCTCTTTATATGTTCGACTGTCATGTCGTGAAACGCCTCTAACAGCGAGTCTCGCATCGTCCTGATCATTTGATTCGGGAGCCACGGAGCACGGTGTCTGCTTTCTTCTCTCCCAACATTGTATGCCATCAACAAGTGCACACGGGGCACTGTTTGAAACATCGTCCCATCGTGCCGGGGTTTGGCACGCTGATAAGGTGGGCTTGAGCGTTGCAGAAGTGGAGGAGGCGTGAGGAGTACTGCATAAGGCGACAAACCAAGCCCCTCATAAGCTCCGATGATAGCACAATTCAAGCTGCGGGCCAAGCGAGTGGATTCACGGGAAATAGCTCCTAACGGTTGATCTGCCGTATCCCCCAGATCCCGTTAACATGACTTCTCGGATGAGAACGGAACCTGGGATCTGATAGTGCCTATCCGCCTCATTTCCGGGATAAGCTCAGTTTTCAGATAGCTCATGCGGGGATGGCCCACCGATGTTACAACATAGCAGCAAGCCCCGGGCCGCTGCGTGGAGACCTACAAAGTCCGGACTTGATCACGCCACAATGATGATTCTCTCGGATAGCTCGAAGATGGCTTCTTCAAATTGTCTATGTGAATCACAGTGGAGCCTTCACGTTGGAATAATATCTAGACTTGAGGCCACTCCGGATTACCGAATGCTGATGAAATCCATGCTACAGACCACTGGATGCGTAGCTTGCAATTCGGAAATATTGCAATCCGGCAATTTCTAGCACGCATGTTGACTCTGTCTCATAAAGCTGGTACCTCAATCCGGTCCTAGAGCCTTTGCAGAAGGAATATACTACTACCGACCATGGCCTTGCAGAGCTTGACCCTTCCTACACTCGGTGTACAGTCTTTGCCTGGCAGCTTATCCATATACCTCGATGGTGAACACACCAATGCCCAAATTGTTCTCCATGATTAACTCCTCCGCATTTGATTCTCAACACGCTACATCGATGATCCCAGATGTCTCGAACAGAGTATTTGAACTCACTTGACGATTCGTTCTAGACAGGCGCTTCAGCTAACCCTCTCTGATTATCTTTGGCATCCATTGCATCGAACGAACAAAGTCGATCAGATCTCAAATCTTTCTCTCTTAAGAAACACCGGTTTACGCCGTCAGAGCCAGAATTGATGGTATCCCGAGCCGACAAGTACAGGATGCTCTGGAAAGGAGCAGAGCAGAAAATACTGGAATTACCTAGCAACTATCGCCGTCAATTTACACAATCAAGTACATTAACCCAGACTTTCCACATCCGCATTACACATGCGATGGGAAGCTCCCAGGACGACTATACACTACTCATGTGCTTGATGTTGGCGCTTCCCCTGGCAAAATACTTTGTTGTCTTCAGTCATCCGTCAATTGGTAGTCGGATGGGCTGACTACAGACTCAACTGTTACCGTGTCAGATAGGGTAAGACTAATACCGCTGTTCTGAAAATCAGTACGGAAGACATCATTTCCTCTCACACCAGATGGCCACTGGATCTCGTCATTAGAAAGGCGCAGAAATTAGTACTTACGCTAGGGCTGGTGCTATGTATTGTCTTGTCCGTTCCTACCTCAAAAGCCACTTGACCAGACAGCATCTATACAGGCGTCAAGCTGTATCTTTCGTTAGTGTATCATCAATGGTGAAGGGACCCCTCGGGGAATCTCTATAGGATGAATGGCTAGACTGTTGTGGATGTGGATCATTTCGAAGAGGAGGACGAAAAGGGTGATGTTGATGCAATATCAAACGACACTCAGGCTGACGGATCTAAGGGCTTGGGGAATCGGTTAGTTAAAGTCCAATAAATCGAAACCTTGGGGCAGACAGCTCTGTCCTTCCTAGAGTGAGTGTTCCTTGACTTGCAGGTGAGCCAGATATCCCAGTGAACCAGCATCTGGGTGGATAACTGTCTGTTCCTAGGTCTGATACAATATCGATTAAGTAAGTCGTGACGAGGATCAGGACTTCTAGTAGACTCGTCAGTGTTCTGGCTGCTTTGTCTCGTCAAACAGACTTGATGTTATGTTGGGCCTTTAGGCTTGGGTAATCGGTAAACCTACTCGGAATTACGAAAAGCCCTTCTTAGTTCTGAAATACGTACATTGGTTCAGCCGTGTAATTTGGATAAAGAGACAAGCAAAGGCTAGTCACGAGGAAGATTACTTTACTCTCGGCCCGCAATGCATGATTCAGTTGATAACGATATTATCTAAGAAATACATGATGCTTCCTTTCCGTATTTCCTTGCAACATATTTCAATTCCCTGCATCTGTTCCACTAGTGCAGTCCACAAAACGTCCCTTCTCCCACGCAAGGCAGCACATCACCAGAATACATCATAAAGGACATAATAGTAAAGACACATCCCCCGCATGGCCTCCGTAGAAAACTAATCAAGGGTAGTCATGTTGTTCGACAAAGCCGTGCAGTTAATCGGGAGGTTGATCGGAGGGTACATGCCCTCAGGTGAGAAAGCCAGACTGCTGTAGTTGTACGTCGGGCTCATCATCATGATTTGGCCCACTGTAGTGCCGTACTTCTCTGCAAGGTCCTTGTACACACCCCACTTGAAGACGTAAGGCTGGATGATACACTGGCTAGGATCGCACTGAGGCACCTTGATAAACTGGCCAACATCCAATTCCGCCGTCGGGGAAGTAGGATTGGTTAACGTCTCATTTGCAGGCCCATCCACGTGCATCAGTGATTCCACCGTGATGTTCAGTCGGCGGGCAATCACTTCGTAGGTGTCTCCCCGAACGGTGTAGTAGAGACGAGGTCCGCCGTAGATACAGGTGCGTGTAGCATTGATGTTTGGCAAGAGACAGGATGTATTGTCTGGCTCGCACACCTCGGGAGGGATGATGAAGTACTCGCCCACTTTGGGAACAATAGTTACATCGGCCATGAGGTTCTGGCGGCCGATGTCACAAACACCGCGATTGGTGGCACGTGCAACATCAAAGACTGTTGTGCCATCCACCGTGATATAATAATTATAAGTGGTCGTGTTCAGTGCTGATGTGTTGCAAGCTGCTGCTGCAACAGCCACTGATGCAAGCGAGAGAGCCAGAAGCGATTGACTGAAAGCCTTCATCTTGACCGGGTATGCGGTGGAGGACTCAATCAGGAAAGGAAGGACGCAGCGAAAGAGAGACAGATGCTGAGGATGAAGAACGTCGCTGGATGATCTCAATGGCAAGGAGAGGACATGTCGTTTCTTATATAGCTCAGGAACCAGGAACTCGGACACGGCTGCTCAGAGGTACGGATCTACGATTGCTGCGTCGTTGGGCAATCACTTTTCCGACTCACGGCGAAGAGATTGAGTTGCGCGGCTTCTATCCGTCTCTCTGCGGCCCAGAGATGGGTCTCTGCTGATATTACTCGCCAGGAAGTTCGCTGGACTGAGCATCAGTGGAGCCGAGGTCTCAATCTCTTCTGCAATGTAGATGATTTCCTTATCAATTACATGCTGATGAGTGTCTGGCTTCTCAGTGGACAGTACCTCCTGACCCCCCACATGGGACCTTTTTTCCTTGCGACCTCCGGAGCCAGGGACCGCATATCATCTTCCCAAATAAGCGATGTCTCCGATATGTGAAATCAACTCGTCACTTTCCATAGGTGGACTTTACCAGTTATTTCCCGCTGGATATTATTGGGCCCTCAACGCGGACGCTAGGGAGGATGCTGTGGGGGTGGGGAGCGGTGGATCTAGGTCGAGACGGAGTCTGCAGCGACGCACAGATGACTGATCTGAAGCCCCTTGATCATGCTCAGGCCCCCGAATGATGGAATCAAATCAATTATGATGCGTAGAATAGTACGCATGAGAAGATAACGCGGCTTTCGGAGCTAACTACTTGGTTGTAATGCTATGTCAGAGGGGAGGGACTGGTTTGGTGGCGCATGGCTATGGTATCGTATGGAGCACATTGCGGTAACTGTCTCATCCTCTTCGTCAGACTCTTTTTTCAGCACGGGAGACCTAGAAAATAAGGTTGTTAGCCACATCTTCCGAACTAAACTATAGATCCCAGTAACCCTGGGGAAGCCGTGAATATGAGCCACTGATCGCCTTGCCAAGTTCTAGTAGTGGGCTCTGGTTACTCAATTCTTATCTTTGATATGACATCGCAGAGCAATGACAACTCTGGGCAGTTTGTTGCCTGGTCAGAATGTGTCTTTTTTTCGTCTGGTACCTGAAGTTGGGACGCCGATATCGCGCTTACCCGATTGGGGTCGGGTTTGCGAAAGCTCCACCGGCCACACATCTTGATTGACGGACCGTGCATGAGTTTGTCTAAACAACCAAACGAAGTAACTAATCGACATAATATTTGCAGACGGGCTATATGGTATCTACCCGCCAGTGGGGGTTGGTGAGGGGAAATTCTCTTTACCGACCGCATTCTCCCTATATGCCGCCTCTGCATGACGACTCTTTCCCACATATGGTGTTCGAACTGCAAGCCTCCACAATGTCTTTGCGGCATGTATTTCAGATAGCGTATATGCACTTGGAGGAAGCGAGTGATATGTGGTGGTGGCTCGGCTATCGCTGCTCAGAACGATCGAATTCACACGTACGTTGTTTGGCTCGACATGCAGGTAGCACCTAATCAACGTATCATTGTGAGTTCCATTGGGGCTTCAAGGCATGTGAGGTATTGACAAGGGATAAATGAGGCGTTCATGCGAGTTCTTTCCCCATGTGTCATGTAAATGCCGCCTTCTATACCTGCATGATTTCCATGTCCATCTGCCCGACGTCCTGCACACAATTGAGATTATTCTCCGCATCCTTTACTCGTCCTTTCTCCGAAATAGAGGCCGCTAACTTGTGTATTGCTGCATTTCCCTCGTATTCCTGCAGCACATGGCCGTAGATGCTTCGAGAGTCTATGAATCGCATGCATGTCCACCTATCAGCAACCAACAGTAGCGACACATAGGCATTACCGGATTAAACATGTCTGCCTCTCCGGACTCTGTCTCATCAGATGACCCAGCAGATGATTTTGTAGCACGTCGTGACCACCGTAGTTGGATAGTCTAGAGCATTGCGAGACGTCTTGTAAACACGGCCTAGCGACTGTTAGTACTAGGAAGGTGCAGTAGTGTCGGTGTATGTATCCTAAGCGAATTAACCCCATGCGTTGCTGCATGAGATTCAGTCTGTGTGCCTGTATACCCCACGAGCGTCTATCTGCAGGTGAAGGATTGCACGGCATCGAAAGAGTTAGTTGATTAAGTCCGGTTGTAGATCGAACTAGGAGAAGAGTGACGCGTCCATGCAGGTCAATTTCCATATGGACTTCTCGGATATGTCATCTGCTCTGCCAGCTTTTTACCCGAAAGTGGAAGGCACACCATGTGCCCCCCTGGGGAAGGCCTTTCGCAATGAAAGTACCACATGACCGCCGATTCTGGATGCGGTGCTCCTGCGCCCGGTTATTGGGGCCAGGGAGGTAATAGCTATGCTTCGACATTGTGCATATTTCCACTGTCATGCAGAGATAATTGGTGTTCCAGTAGTATGCGGTAGTGTGTTATCTTGCTATCGTCCACGTAGTATGGCATGGATGAAGTGGTAAGTAATACCTCATTTGGCGGTCGATATATATATCATCGGGAGAACCCTCTGGGTACCCCCAATGTCTTGACTGCAACATTAAGATGAGAAAAGGAAAGAGACTTCTCAGAACTGTTGATTGAAATGAGCCATAATATAATTGGAATTGGCTCGCTGAACTTACTCATGCAATGACAAGCCTGGAAATTCATGTTGCAGATATCAAAACCGATAAGTTGACAGATGAGATGAGACAATAGCGATGGCCTTATATTGTCAAAAAGTATCTCAGACATACAACAAGATCCGATATGGTGTAGTGGCTAACATCGCCGTCTCTCACACGGCAGCCGGGGGTTCGATTCCCCCTATCGGAGCTCGATCATTTCTTTTTCATTTTTTCACCTTCGCAATGAGCTTGTGGGACTTATTAAAGTCTTGCTTTCCTTTTCTTTTCTGATTTATCATTACTTCCTCCTTGCACATTTCCCCTAATTTAACAACATCGTTCCATCTCTGATTTCCCCCAAGCCCACCACCGAGGATGTTCTTGCCTTGTTTAGATACGCGGCGGGTTACCCCAAATTGGGGAACGACGGATTGATTGGTAAGATGATGTCAATAAATCCTTCGGCAACCCTCCTCTCAGCATCTATATCAGACAAGAGTCTCATCCGTATATTACTAGTAGTCTCCGGTATTCAGACCCTGGTTAGATCCTTGGCCAGTCAACATGGAATCCAGAACAGTGAAAGCGATCCGAATCCAAAAATACAACGAGCCATACCATGTGTCCGAGGTGCCTGTCCCTCACCTAGAGCCACATCAAGTCTTAGTACGCATCAAGGCTGCTGGCTTCTGTCATACCGATTTGATGGCTCTAAACGGCGAATTTGGAACTCGGTTACCGTTTATTGGTTCGCATGAGCCGGCGGGGAGAATTGAGCAAGTTGGCTCCCAGGTCACAGGTTTCCAGAAAGGCGACCGTGTCGGCTGCATCAATTTTGACAGTGTCTGTGGTAAGTATGGCTGAGGTTGAAAGATGTCGTCGTCTAGTGGCAGCAATGTTAAGTCGGCCTTCATTGGGGTGGAATTTAGCGAAATGTCCGGACTGTACAGCTGGTCGTCCTATCTATTGCGATGCCCCGTTGATGAAGGGCATCACTGCTGATGGAGCGTGGGCCGAATGCATGGTCGCGTGAGTAATGCTGCTTGAATCCTTCGATACTGAGTACTCTCCTGTCTAATTCTGTATGCACTGATGCTCGATTCATAGTGAAAATACCAGATGCTATGGAATTCAAAGTGGCAGCACCTCTAATGTGCGCCGGTATTAGCATCTACGGTGGCATTGTTCGGGCCAATGTGCCCCAAGGCGGCTCTATTGGCATTGTCGGGATTGGAGGTCTAGGTCATATTGGTACCCAGGTTGCCAAGTGCATGGTAAGACAACAAATAAACCGAGTTTAAGTCAGAGATATACAGATGATAGCGACCTCGAACAGGGCTACAAAGTAGCGGCAATTGATGCTGGATGCAGTGGCATCCTACGAGCACAAGCCTGACGTATCCATTCTGGCCACAGATCCAGTAGACATTTCCCAAGAGAAGATTAACAAGGCTATAGCTGGCGACTATCCAGGCCTTGATGCGACCGTCCTAGCCACGGATCATCCATCGGCCTTCAAATTAGCGGCTGCCCTTACGCGGAAGCACGGTACAATGGTTCTGCTTGGTCAGCCCGAAAAGGGGATAACCATGTCGTACCACACGGTCATCTACAAGGATATCACGTTGATAAGCTCCTTGATTGCTGACACAGCTGATGCGCAGGCGTTCATTCAGTTGTTCCACGAGAACAAGCTGCACGTGGAAGTCAAGGAGTGGAAGCTGGAGCAGGCAGAGCAGATGAGGCAGGAGTACTTGACCGGAAAGTCGAATGGCAAGAATGTCATTGTTATCCACTGACTGGCTCGGAATTTATAAGCTAAATCCTGCTAGAAGATGTTAGTTTGGACGCCGGTTTAGCTTCCTTTGCGTCATAGTCGCCATGGGGCCAAGTATAAGTTATTGGCTAGCAGGATGGCGTCGGATGTGAGGAAGTAGCAAATGCTTAAAATAGCCACTACTATTATTTGTCGGGATAGATATCGTGACGTTCCTGCCATTATCTTAGGATTAGTGTCCCAAAAGAATCAAGACGGATGGCTTACATGGATTCCACGAAAACTCCTCTTCAGCGATCCCAATGATGGATGCAACTGGGGCGAGAAACACGAGGTACAGTACGCTATTCTGCAGATATGCCTATACTCAGTACCTCTCCCTAGCAACAAGGATTTGGCAAAACAGCCCCGTTTCTTAGGTGAAGAATATAAGATCACGTGATGCTGATAAAACATAAATGATACCGGGGAACTCCAGGAATCAGGAAAGGCCTCGGAACTTGCCTAAATTGCAGTAGTGGTATCTTCCTGTACTGGCTTGGAATTCTCCAGGATTATAAGTCTTGGCAGGAGACTCCAAAGGTATAAAAACAAAGAGAAATCCTTAGTATTTAGTTAGTTAGATTCAATAGTAATAACAGGATTGCCTTACATTACAAGATACTACATCATATTCCAACATTAGGAAGGGTACTCCAATATGCCCCTGGATGGATGCTGCGCGCACTACTGACACGCTAATCGGCAGGAGCATCCGACTGGAAGTTCCAGACTGGTAGCTATTTTGCCCCGGTGAACTTATATGCTACTAAGATTCTTAGACCCACAACTGATAGTCTCGATTCCTTGGTTATGCCCGATAGGACTCTTCCCTCTTCCTCAAGATGACAGGCAGAGTCCTTACTTCACATCGACCTAGTGGTATCACCGCATCAATGGTAGACAAACAACGCCTTGTTCAATCACTGATACAAAGTCATGCAATAAGGTGCGATTGTTGTTCATCTGACATCGAATTCACAACGTTGGCTTTCTGTACAAAACCTCTCGGCTGCATCAATGTCGGAGCGGAATTCGCCGGGACTCTTGGTGAACCCATTTCTTTGCATATCTTAGCTATGACCACCTAGGGGCTTCAGCATTCAGACCATGAAGAACAAGAAAAGGCGCTAAGGCGATATTGTTGCTAAAAAAGGCGTTCATTAGAAGGGTTGGTGGAGGTGTGTGGTGTGCGAGAGGAGTCCAACGACGCCGGCAATATCGGCGGATCTTCTTGCTGGGGAAAACGGCCGAGTCCACTTTCCACACGAGGCCCAATTATTCCTCCTGTCAGCACCTTTCATTGTGTCTGCATGACTCAATGGGCGTTGGTGAGTGGTCGATGCTGAGGGCTGGCTCGGTCGGAACGCCGAAGAGAATAAGTGGGTGGGAGTGGCACCCACTTTTAATTTGAAACACCACGACCTTTAATAAGATTGTCCAGGAACACCGCCAGGGGCCCAGGACAGCCGGTTTAATCAACCACAGAACGACGAGTGTCGCACTACCCTGCTCAGGCTTGAGCTCGATTGGATTTTAGATGGAGCATCGCACTGGAGAAAAGCTGCCGTCCGCCTTCATATAAGGACGGTCGCGGAACCAGTTTCCTGCATTGCAACCCACGCTCTTTTCGCAACCGTTTCCATTGCACACTGAACAATCATCGTCACTCTTTATAAATACCTCATCATGGTCGCCTACTCGTCACTTCTCCTCGCTCTTTCGGCTGCCTCGAGCGCCGTCGCTCTCCCCAATGGCAAGGCCCTGCTGGACATGGCCAAGCGCAGCCTTACTTCTTCCGCGGAAGGCGAGAGCAACGGCTACTTCTACTCCTTCTGGACCAACGGTGAGGGCGACGTGACCTACACCAACGGCGACGGTGGTGAATACACCGTTGAGTGGACCGACTGTGGTGACTTCGTGGCCGGCAAGGGTTGGAACCCTGGCAGTGCTCAGTAAGGACATCCCCACAGCTGTTCTGGGAACATAGGGTGTTAACCATTTTTTCAGGGCCGTTACCTACAGCGGATCATGGGAAACCGACGCCAACGCCTACCTGTCCGTCTACGGCTGGACCACCTCTCCCCTGGTCGAATTCTACATCGTCGACAAGTACGGTGACTACGACCCCTCCTCTGGCCTGACTGAGCTCGGCACCGTCGACAGCGACGACGGAACCTACAAGATCTACCAGACCACCCGTGAGGACGCCGACTCGATCGAGGGCACTGCCACCTTCAAGCAGTACTGGTCCGTGCGCACAGAGGGCCGTATCGGTGGAACTGTCACCACTCAGAACCACTTCGATGCCTGGGAGAACCTTGGTCTGGACCTTGGTACCTTCAACTACATGATCGTCGCCACCGAGGGATACGAGAGCAGCGGGTCTGCCACTATCACTGTTGATACCTCTTCTGACAGCACTGAGGAGAGCTGCTAAACGCTCTTCTGAAGTGACTACTTTTGTCTTCTGTATATAATCAGTCCCGATCGGGTTTCACTTCTTGACCGAACTCATAATACCATTGTCACATCTGGTGTGGACACCTAGGCCGCAACATTGTTCTTCGACATTCACTTGCGTAGTATATTACCTGCTACAGGCATTAGACGACACCTTCATTGCAGCGACAAGAACTGCCGAGGTGAGAGAGATACGAGAAGCAGCTTTAGGTAATAGCGCTGAAGTTACTCCAAGCACGCTACTGTAAGGCTCTCTTGGCTTTCGGCAACACTGCTACTGTCATGGACGACCAGCAAGTGTCAAGCCGGACCGGAAAAGAGAGTGGAGCGTCGTTATAAGTGCTTGAAGCTACGGAGCAGGTCCGAAAGCTATACCATTATTATTATGATATTTAGAGCTCAAGACCCCCAGGCTCCTTCGACTGGCGATTCTGAGCCCTGAGAGCCCGAAAGACTGACTGGCGCCATTGTTGACGGCTATGTTAGACAGGTAAAGCAAAAGACATCGTTCGAGGACAACCCAACCCGGTCATAGCCCGCACAACTACCACTGATGTCCTTTACTATCGCTTTGCCTGATTTTATAGTAGCAACTCTACCCCTATAAAGCCACTGCCATATTGAACAAAGCTACTACGAGGCTCCTGAATCCTGGTCCCTGCTGCTTCACTGATATGCAATTACCTCCAGCATGCTCCCCGACCCATCCCTATTTTGCATATGTCATAACCATGGTTGATAGCTCTACTCCATGAACTACCGGTACCCTCCTCCGGTGGAGAGTCATGAACATCCAGCGGTGAACGCCATTCAAGCAACTCCGATTAGTCAGGGAACCCTTTTCCCACGGGGTACCCCGCAATTCGGCACGATGATCCCCCGACCACGCCTATCCATCAGGGCCAATCAAGACCCGGCCAGCCATCGGTAATGTCTGCCCAGCCGGACTAGACGTGCCCTGCTCGGGATAATTCACGGCGAGTTGCTGGCAGCTGGACTGCAGGAGCTCCCGTCGTGGCTTCGGGTGTATTAGACCGACTGTTGTCCAGCGAGATCCAAATGCTTAATTGAGCTTGTCCTGTCCTTTCTTTCATTCCCTTCCTGTCCAGTTCTATCCATCCGGGTATGTACTAGAGTCATCATCGACGACGGTCAAGATGCGTCTTTGGAAACATGACTTTCGGGGCAGGGCCCTGATCATTGCCATCACTATGGCCTCTTGCCAGGCCTTTCTCTTGCTGGGGTTTGACCAAGGTTTGTTGGTTTCTTCATGGCTTTCTGGATAGGGATTGATGGGGGCTAACGATATGGGGTTTGTAGGTGTCATGTCCGGCATCGTGGGCGCGGATAATCGCTTCGCCCGCGACTTCAACAACCCCGACGCGGCGATGCAGGGGAATATCACCGGTCTGTACGATATCGGCTGCGTGGTCGGGTCCATCATCTGCTACTTCATCGGCGAGAGAATGGGTCGACGGACCATGCTGATGATGGGCGGGTTCATCATGATCATCGGAACCGTCATCCTCGCTTCCTCCTACACAATAGCACAGCTGCTGGTCGGCCGAATCGTTACTGGGCTGGGTAACGGAATGAACTCTTCCACCGCCCCAGTCTATCAGAGTGAATGTTCTCCAGCAGCATACCGTGGTACCCTGCTCACCCTGCAGGGCACTGTCACTATCCTGGGCGTGGTGATCGCCTACTGGTGAGACTGTCCTATGCCGCCCCCCTACACGCCCCCACCTCCTTTACAAAGCCCAAATCTGACAGAGAGTCAATTTGTGTAGGATGGACTACGGCACCAGCTTTACTGATTCCTCCTACGAATGGCGCCTCCCCCTCGCTTTCCAGGCCGTCTTCGCCGTATGCCTCATTTTGCAGGTGGTCGGTCTCCCCGAAAGTCCTCGTTGGCTGGTCCAACACGACCGACACGAGGAAGCCCGCGCTGTGGTGGCTGCCATCGAAGATACCACTATCGACGATGCAAACGTCACCAAGACCATCATGGACATCCAGTTCGTCCTGGAGGAGGAACAAAAGGACGGTCCGTTCCGCTTCAAGGAGCTGTTCACCTGGGGCGAGGTACAGAACCTCCGACGTCTTTTTATCACCATCACCATTGAATTAGGGCAACAATTCACGGGAAGCAATATGATAAATTATTATGGTCCTGTCATGTTCCAAGAAACCATGAATATGAGTCGGAATTTGTCGCTTATCCTCGGCGGCGCTATGCAGTGCACCTACCTGGTCGGCTCGGCAATCCCGGTGTTTCTGATGGACCGGTACGGCCGACGTACCCTGTTAATGGTATGCTCAGCAGGCTTGTGTCTGTGCTTCGTTATGGTATCGATTCTGCTCTCACTGGACCGCGAGGACTGTGCCTACGGAGCCACCGTCTTCATCTTCATCTTCCAGATCTTCTACGGCGTCGGCTGGCTACCGGTCCCGTGGTTCTACCCAGCCGAGCTGAACACAACGCGAGTACGGACGCGAATGCAGGCCATTGCGTCCGGATGGAACTGGATGGCCGTGTTTGCCGTGGTGAAAATCACTCCGATTGCATTTGGTAGGTTTTGCGGCTCTTGAAGGACCATCAGGAAAGTCATACTGACATACAACGTGTGTAGACAACATCGGCTGGCGCACCTTTGTCATCTTTGCGGTGTTGAACGCCGTCTTCATCCCCATGGTGTACTTCTTCTACCCGGAGACCAAGGGTCTCGAGCTCGAGGATATCCCCTTGCTTTTCCACAAGGGTGGAATCACCGGAGGTGTGTTTACCTCGAAGGGTGGACGTACTGTTACACCGGGGCAGCATGCGCTGGAAGCGCGCGTCGACCAGAAGGTCGAGGGCACGGTGCAGCAAGTAGAGCATGCATAGAAGTATTACCTGTTTTTGGGTTTCTAGATCTGGGTATTGTAATGTCGGACTACTTGTCTACAATGAACAACGAATGAATCATGTCATGTCATTATTTCTCGATATCATAGTCATGGTGATAGTCATACAATCGGCTAACTATCGCCGAATAGATAGATAGATAGATAGATAGAAATAGAAAACGAACGACATAAAGATCGGCACGAGCGGTCGACACAGTAATACACCCATAAATAGAAAAAGACAGTAAGAAAAAAACCCACTCACCAATTTTAAATAACAGACAGTCTGTTTCACCTTACCGAAATGAATAACAGAACAGCTCGAACACAACATTCTCAGTACGTAGTCATAAATCATAACCATACCAATACCCATCCATAACCCTATCAGACATTATGACCAACTCCCTGATATCACATCTCATCCAGCTTCGGCGGCTCTTCCTCCCCTAGATCCTTATCTAGATCCCGAGTAGTCGTCCGCTGCTGCTGGATATTGATATCGCCACGGTCGGCTTTGACCTGTTGGTTGTGCCTTAGCTAATTCTCATAACCCACTTACCTTACCTTAACGACGAAGGGTAGGGGGAGATGAACGCACCGAGGCCTCACTAGAGGTAGCATGGATCTCCTCCCAGTGGCCCATGTCCTTTTCTGGCTTTTTGACGAGACTGGGAGTATCCTCCAAGTTGTCTGGGTAGGAAGGGGGGATGAAGACTAAGGCAGTTAGTTCTTCCTTTTCTTCTTTGATGGTGAGAGGATAGAGGTTGATGTAGGTGGCAAACGTACACTCCTCTCCCTTGGTGCTATGTACATCAGGCGGATGGTAGTAGCACACGCGGGCGGAATAGGCCGGACGAAGGACGAGAGGACGACTGAGAGTGGAAGCTCGTCTGAGGATCATTGTTGGTAGATTTGATTTAATTGATTGTCGATCGGTTAGTGAGTTGTAGTAGATGGATTCGTGATGGATGCGTAGGATGGCGTCTAGACTTAGAAGTAGTAGATTGATGGATGGAAAGGACGGGAAGAAATAGCGTGGGGATGGGATGGGATTAATTGTGACAGACAGCAAGAGAGTTTGGGTCGTGATGTCAGAGCCACTTTTGACACTTGCTGGTTTTGAGTTTCAGGCGTGTGACAGGTCACGTTTCAGTCCCGTGCCTATCCTTTGGAACTTGACATCTCGCTTCGGCTGAATAATGTGTCGATCGTTTTGTTTGTTGAGCTTTCGCTATCTATCGTGTCCGGTGTATACATCACCTCTTTCTTCCTTTCTGGTATTTTCTAATGGCAAGATATTGAGTCAGGCTTAATAAATTAGATTAAGATTCATCTATCAACTGATTAAAGCTTATTTACCAAAAACCCTGTTCAATCTATGCAGGTCCGCTCCCCATCGTTCTCCCTTTTGAGGTTCGTGATGAGTCTCATTGGCGTTAATGGCGGAAGAATAAGGTGGCGGAGACAACGAAAAAAAAGGGAGGCGACACCACTATCGTTGACTCGTATCGGACTGCGGGCCTGTCTTAAATACTAGTGAGGACCTTAAAAGGGGTTCACGGGCTTTGCTCGAGTCCAAACTTGTCACTATTAGTAGTTCCTTCGGAGCTCAAGGCCATTTAGAGATAATCCCCTGTCTGGGATAAATGAAGGATGAGGATGCAGGTGACTGATCGGTGACCTTGATATGCTTCCTGCAATCCGGTGGGGTAGAGTTTGGGGTACTACATGCCTGCTTGGGCAATGCTCGATAACAGATGACGATGGCATAATTCAACAAATCGATCTGGTTGCCGGGGATTACCTAGCATGGTCTAGATAGATGAGGCTGTTAGTGGTCCCCCTATCTTTTTTTTTTTTTTCTGGAAAGGACCACCAACCACCATCAACGGGCACCATCCGCACAGAAAGTCGGTGTGTCGACCGGAAAAGACCAAGCACGCTTCTTCGTTATTCCGCTAGTTGATGTCTTCCCGTGGTTCCCAGCCTCCCTAATGAAAGTCCAGACCAAAAATGATGAGTGTCTTGTGTCCTGCCCAGGTGTCTAAGGATCATGCAACCATCGCTTAAGGCTCTCGCCTCGACGACTTGTCATTGGAATCTGCAATGCCCTGCCCGTCCATTTTTTTGGTTGACGGCAAACTGGCGGGACGGCGCTCCACAATTCTCCATTGTGGACGGGCGAAGCGTAATCTCCCCATCAATTGCCGACCACGAACCAATCGAATACCCGAAAATTTTTGACACACTAGGGCCACTTTAGGCATCAGCTGCGGGAATGCATCGAGCTTGTAGCATTGTGACGTGAGATGAGATTCGGCGGCCATCGTTGAGGGCTGATCAGCACGATTACAAGCATCGGCTAGAAGGTAGCTAGCTAAACCTTCATTGTGTTGATCGGCCGCCGGCAAGTCACTCATAGGTCTGACAGCTGCTATGGATGGAGACCGAGCAGGTCTCAGGTTGATGTCGACCCCCCAAGTCTCGGCTCGTGGGGATAGCAAGGACCGGGGTGGAGTGGTCGATCAGTATTGAGGAGACCGCAGGGAGAAGGGGCGATTACTATTGAGCAATCGATGACAGACGAAGCGGAGCCGAAAATTCCTACTGATCACTTCAGCCGCCCCACTGATTCGCTGTCGTTATTTCCCAATTCATGGCCTGGGGGGTCGCAATCTGCAACATGTCAGGTTTTTTTTTTTTTTATCTGGCATGGCAGGGTATATACTTGTTCGACCGTGTGTCGGGGGGCCAATTTCTTTGGAAGAACATTTCAATGACTCCCCTGCCCACCTCTGCCGGTTTTCTTCTCTACCTTCAGCTCCAGTGTCTTCACCCCAGCTTGCACCATGTCTGAACCCGGCTACCATGCAGAAAACCACCCAAGGCACGTCGATCGCAAAGCCCTGTACACCGATCTAGAGGCGCGGATCGATTATTTGCAGAGATTCCTCGATTTTAATGCCGGTTGGTGCCCCCCAGCGTCCCCGGTCTTCCCCACAAGGCTGTTTGTGTTCATTTAATTCTGTTCCGCGGAGTTGATTCTCCGCGGCAACGCCGCATCAACTAACTTGGGGTAAATACAGATGATGTCGCAACTCTCGTCCGGGGCGCGAAATATGTCAAGGCCCTAGCTCCTACCGTGGTGGATAAGGTGTATGTGAAACTTCTAGAGTTTGACATCACGGCGCGTGTCTTCCGCACTCGGAACACTGCGATAGAAGAAGAACCAGACGACTATCCTACCCTCAATAGCCCGGCAGTTCAGCGTCGCCGTCAATTTCTTCGCTGGTATATGACGAAATTATGTTCCGATCCAACCAAGCCTGAATTCTGGAGATACTTGAACCAAGTCGGGTATGCAAACCTCCCCCTTGTATGGGCACATGATACTAACCGGCTATGTCAGACGCATGCACTATGGGAAGGAACGGCTGCACTCGTTAAATGTCGAGTACATACATATCGGCGCCTGCCTTGGCTTCATTCAAGACATCGTCATGGAGGCAGTTCTGACATACGAAAAGCTCACGCTGCCGTTCCGGATAGCGCTAGTCAGAGCTCTAGGCAAGGTGATATGGATTCAGAACGATCTCTTTGCGCGATGGCGTCTTCATGACGGCGAAGAGTTCGAAGAAGAGATTGAGTCTTCGCACAAGCAACAAGAAGCCGCTCCCCAAGTCACACCTAAGCCCAGCTCGACATACTTGCGGGCCGACGGATCGTCTTGCGTCAAGACTTCGACTGCCAGCTCGACATCCTCTTCCGAATTTGCCAGTCTCTTTTCGGAAACGTCCTCTCTCGAGACCACTCCATCCCCACCAACAATTTCAGCCCCCACGCAATATGCGCAACGGTCGGCGTGTCCGTTTTCTAACGGCCCCAAGCAAGGCGTCGAGACCAAGGTCTGGTCTAGTGCGTGGAATCCCGGATCCGTCGGATCTGGAGGCACTCGACGCTAGCCCCAGGGCGACATTTCTTTGCTAATATGATACGTGTAACGATAATATCTGTTGATCGGACGAGATAGACTGGGCGTGTGTTTCATTCTGTTTGTTATACCCACAAGGATCTGGCTTGCGGACAGTTAATCAAGAGCGGAATAAATGATTTTCAATGCATACAATCGTGCAATTCTCCGCATTGGGCGTTTTGAATGCCGTGCCTACTAGACTATGGATAGGGATGACGTGAGCATCAGGGCGTTGAGACTAGGATTGGGGGCGGGGCCCGGTGAATGATGATGGCAGCAGGTATGAGTAAACACTAATTGCTGACTCGACCCATTAGAAGTGGACCCTCTCTGTGCTATTGTCGATGCAGCTGTGAGAATGAAGTCCGATGTTGTGGCTTTGCACCGGATTTAAGCCGAAGGAATGGATAGTGTCTGCAAGGTAAGTACAGTAGCCCCAAGCTAAGAGCTGCTCCGGCCGCGGCCGCCGAAACTGATTTTGATACACTTAGACTCACACAATACGCCCGAGGGACTTGATGCCGAGGCGACCGCGGTATAATTGCAAACACTGTGTTCTCGTCACTGGGATAGGTTGCCGGCCCGGTTCGGGAAGCACTCTTGGGTGATCCCCAAATGATCCTCGGGTCGCTGTTGTAGCTGGAGGGCCATCATCTGCTCAGCCAGATGTTTGAGGATAGGCCTGGCATGCTGAGCTCTGCACCGCCGAATGGACGCAACTGGCTGTGACTAGCCAATGTCTCGCAGCACTTTACGCGATAATGTTTAGTGAGAGTATTTAGCGAGAAATCCGACCGTACTGAGTGCCTAGCGCTTGCTGTGGGAGCTTTGAATATGCGAATCAATGCCTGTATGATGTGAGTGCTGAGAAATCATGACTGACGATACACCGACCGGAGTACCTGTTCTAATGGATGTGCTAGAGACGAGAAAGTGTCAAAACTCATCCTCGGTATGAATTACACCGTGCAGGGTTCTCAAAACGTAAATGATCCGCATTCCTGCATGTCATCCAACCTGTAAGAACCTAGTCAAGGAAGTTCTGCACTTTCCATCCCTTGGCATACATCTGCCGGAGTGCCTCCTCTTTACCTGCCTGATGCTTGAACGAGAAAGGTCGACTAATGACTCGCCCCAGAAACCTCAAAGCCATCTGTCCGAAGAATGTATCGCTGATGAAATAGCTGCAGGTTTGTAGATGAGCAGCTGTGCAATTGGTGATATACTCGATACAATGCCCGCGACTTCCGTCTGCGTGGCTCCTCGATCGCTGTCAATCAATGCCGGAGCAAATCCGATCTCATATCCTGCTTGTTGTCTTCGAGGGTTACTTGACTCTTCAGCCTGAACAAACCACGTCGTATGGTGCCTCCGCATGGGCGCCGATCCTCCTGACATCCCCTCCCAATAACCACGGAAATTAGGCTCAATCCGCAAACGGCGCGGTAATAAAAACCCGTCATTGGGACTGCCAGCAAAATCTGTGCTGCACCGCTGACGGCTGTCAAGACAAGCGAGGTTAAGGACCAAAATGGTGAATTTGTCAACTAGTGGTCTTGCCATTTTTGCAGGCTTGAGTCTGGCTGCTTCGGCCATACCTTCTCTCCAGAAGAATGGCACTACCTGCACCGTAATCCCCTTAGGAAACGGGCAGGATGACGTCCCCAACATCCTATCGGCAGTTGACCAATGCGGTCAGACCTCTGGAGGGATAATTATCCTCCCTGCGCCGTATACCTACCGTATTAACCAGCGGATGACGACTCACCTGACCGATTCCCGACTTGAGATCGGTGGTACGCTTCTCTTCAGCGATAACATTGATTACTGGGTAAACAACTCCTATCGGGTGGACTTTCAGAACCAGTCAAGTGCCTGGCGTATCACAGGCCATGACTATGTTGTGGATGGAGGTCCTCATCAAGGTGGAGTTGATGGGAATGGGCAGCTGTGGTACACTTGGGCCAAGGGAGGTAGCAATGTCTTTGGACGACCGATGCCAGTGCATGTGTTCCAATCATCGCGAGCAACTCTTCGTAACCTGGCGATCCGACAGCCCCAGTTCTGGGCCGTTCTTGTCGATTCCTCTTCGCATATCAGCCTTGATAATTTTTACGTTAATGCCACAAACCATGACTTCTCGGTGAACCCAGAGGGCGAGTGGGTGCAGAATACGGACGGGATCGATACGTACCGGTCCGACCATATCACCATCACCAACTGGATATACCAAGGCGGAGATGATGCAGTGGCTTTCAAGGGAAATTCTACGAACATCCATGTGGAGAATGTCACGGTTTACGGCGGGCCGGGTATTGCTTTTGGTTCGCTGGGACAATACCCCGACCGGACGGATATCGTGGAGAACGTGACGGTTCGGAATGTTCAAGTGAGCGAAGCCCGGCGATAATGATGAGATTCGCATTGACAAGTATAGGTACAACCGTCCTTTCAACGGGCGATGAATTCCGGGGTCTACTTCAAAAGCTGGTAGGTACCACGTCCCCCAATGCGATAGGTAACTGATCAGTCAGGATTGGGGTCAACTATGGCGTTCCTCCAAATGGTGGTGGAGGCGGCCATGGATACGTGCGCAACGTGACAGTCGAGAACCTTCGACTCAAGGACGTCCAATTACCTGTGTATATTGACACCTGGTAAGAGTGATGCCACTGCATTTAGCATACTCGGCTAACCCTGGCAGTCTGAGCTACCTCTTCAGCGAAAACATCACGCAGTACTGTGACACGTCGACGTATGAGTTCAATGATCTACATTTCAAGAACATTAGCGGAAATGGACTTGCAACGGTGACGGATTATCCTGGGAAGAACATTAGCTTCGCCGTGTCTTTGCTTTGTTCCGAAAAGGCACCGTGTACGGACCTCACCTTTCGGGACATCAACATTAAGCTTCCCGCGAACTATACTGGCAAAGATGTACTGTGCGAGAATGCAGAGGTGGAGGGACTCCGATGCGATTCATAGGCTGAAGAATGTGACATATCATGTCCAATCATAGAAGTCAGATTCATGTCTCACATAACTACTTGTTCGCTTGCCGTCCGTAAGATCTGTGGGGTAGTTTTTCCCCTGTCGACATCTAACCAGCAAGCTACAGATCTTGCCCTGTCATCATTTGGGAATGGGACTTTCCTCGCATCGAGCCCCATTGGATAATTGTGGCGCAGGGGTGACCCGGCGGTGTATAATGGTAGTATTCAACATCCTTTGATCCGATAAGGTTTGGTTTTAGTAGTCGGATGTTCTTGTACCCAATAAGAGCTTTCAGAAGCCAATCTAGGTTTATATTATTAAGACTTCCATCTGCCGAGGCGTCTAACTTGGTCGACGGTTCCATAAAGCACCATGGGATAATGGGCCAAGACTGGGTTATAGGACGATCGGAGCGTCCAGACTGCTGCTATTGGATCCACAGCATCGTAGAGCCGCGGGCGAGCCTTTTAATTGACTTCGTGGTCATTTCCGAACAGGAATCCGTGCGAGACTGACTGACAAGCCTAGAAGGGTCGTGCACGTCAGAGGCGGCCATTAAGGTTTCCGCAATGAACCAAGCTTCCACTCGCAGCCCTCGGAGGCACCTCTCTCAGAATAAACCCTTCAAGCCTGTCCAACTCTTCTCTCCTGTCTTCTCTGAATGACGCTTTCGCCTCGGTACTGCACAGAATAGTCTGGCAGGAATGGGGGTCTCGGCACAGTCGCAGCCACTCGGCCAGTTTTAGAACTTCCGTCGGCAACTCTTCTCCTTTCATTCCTTTGAAGGCCTTATATGGTCGCTTTTGACACCAGCACCACGTTCGGTATGAGATTCTTTGGCCGATGCGACCGACATCGGGACTAGGATGTCGCAGGACGTCGGTATCGACGCAGATGGCGGCGATTTCTCATCGCTCACCTCTAAAGACCCGATCCAAAAATATGTCATCTCCGCCTTTGCGGCCATCACCTTCTACAATTCGATAGAGCTTGTGGTGCTTTGTTTCACGACTTTCAACAAATATCATGGGTGTTATTTCTGGAGTTTACTCGTCACCTCGGCGAGCCTCATCCCCCACTGCGTGGGATACCTGCTCTTTATCTTCTCGTCCATTTCTCCTTATGTGCCTGTGTCTTTGATTATCCCTACCTGGATTAGCATAGTTACTGGTCACTCCCTCGTCCTTTGGTCGCGATTGCACCTCCTCGTACATTCGCAGAAGTTGCTGCAGGGCCTGTTGTACATGATTATCATCGACTGCATCGTCCTCCAAATCCCAACAACAGTCCTGTTGTATGGATCACTATCAGGTACTCCCCACTTCGCCAGGGGTTACGACATCATGGAGCGGATTCAGCTTGTCATCTTTTGCGTCCAAGAGTTTATCTTATCCGGTATATATGTGTGGGAAACCATCAAGATGCTGCGCCTTCGTCCCGAGAGGCCACGGTTCATTATCCTCACTCAATTGCTTGTGATCAATGTACTCATCCTCATTCTGGACGTGGCAGTCGTCGCCATCGAGTACGCCGGATATTATGCGCTGCAGGTTATGTTTAAACCCGTCGCATATAGCGTCAAGCTGAAGTTGGAATATGCTATCCTGGGCCGGCTGGTTCAGATTGCTCAAGGAGCCAGTTCCGATCCGGATCCATTATCACCAAGCTCTCGCGGATTCAATATCACGGTATCTGGGTTTGACGATTCGGGCAGTAATAATGGAGGTGTCACAGTCGTCCGACAGGTAAACTCGGGACCGTTGGTCAGGCGATGGTCTGGACAGACTCATGACAGCGTCGGTTATTGTTAGGAAGGTCCCAGCTCGATGTGTTGATCAAGTAGCTGACTCGCTGGGACCAGTTCGAAAACACCCCTCGGAAGTCCACAAGCCGATTTGTTGACTGGAACTAGTCACATGAGATGGTTTATGAAGGATGGACTCACAGCATCAACCATCGCAGCACTGGCAATGCCCGAGAATTGCTTCAATTTATACACAGTCGCTTGACGCGGCGGTCCAACCCCAATCACGGACTTATACGGGACCCAACTTCTTATAATGTTGAGGTGAACGGTTCACCACAATGGTACGCGAGATGCCTCCTTCTAGGCTTGCGAAGGGTCAGCGGCGTGTTGGAACGCATATACGGCACAAACATATTTGGACGAAATGAGGCCACCCCCTCCAGATGCCCATTATTTTGAACTAGATACTCACCATAGATAACTTAATAGAATAAAAAAGAAGAAACCCTACCTCGAATATCTTTGAATGATGGCCTCTTTTGAACGCTTTGGTGTAGTAGTCATAGGAAAGCTCAAGCATTTGCACCCTTGTCTATCTGGATAGCAGATGTGGGTGTCTCAACATTTCCCAAACAGGGCACTACTTCCCCAAGCCATTAGTCATTGATGCAGCCTTGGTGCCTGACAAGGTTTAGGAGTAAAGGTTGCAGCCTCCCAGCATATTGGGGGCTGTCCTTGCTTCGTCACGGTTTTCCACTACTGCAACATCGCTCACATGGTAGTCATCTTTCTTAAGACAGTAATTCATGCACAGCATTTAGTCAAGGTTTCAAATCTAGTACTACGGCTTGCAAATACGGATGACAGCATACCTTCCCACCTCGCATCTTGTTCTTTACTATTTGCTCGAGATTCTCTAATTGTGCCTCTTAAGCCATTTGTAGCCAGGTCCAATTTCAAATGTTACGGTGAAACACCACAGCCTGCTGTACAGGTATGCCCGGACGGGGATTATTGGGGTAGGTGGCATAAGTATTGGAGGTCATTGTTAGACTTATTCTAAGTTTTGCAGATACCCCACAATTACGATGGGTGGGTCCATTGTATCTCGGGCTCATTCAAGGCTTTCATAGACAGGTGTCTAAAATGCCACCTATACTAGCAGATTTATGCCCAAGTTGACCTACTGCATGAAATTTCGATATATTTGGTGCTATGACTTTCCCAAACAATCAGCTCCTATTCTAGCCTTACAACGCTCTAACAAAGTACGCCATTTGCACAATAGTGCATATGGAACTAAATGGCAGGGTTGACAACTCCTGGTAGCTAGCACGTTGGCCGGATGCGGCCCGTGGGGTAAATGCATAAATGACCCAATAATAGGCCTCACAAACATCTTTTGCTCAGTTCATCTGGACTATGACGGCCTACGTTGGGCTTTGCTACAAGCCACATTTCTTTGTCTCCGAGTCTCCAATGACTCCAGATAAAATAGCTTTGGAATGAAACACAAATGAATCAAGGCTCCTGAGAATGAAAACGCAGACCCAGAGCTTGATGCATGGCGTAAGCCTTACAGGAGATGATGGCTTACTAACATCTGAGTTAAATTTCGGTCTCCAACTCGTGTCGCCTGTTCAGTCTAGGATGGCTCACGGCGCAAACTGTTCCCAGGTCTCTGGTGCATATGGAAATGAACGATTGCGGAAGTGCTTCCGCAAGCATGCTATATCTTCAACACATATCCCGCGGACAATTCTGACATTGCTTGAACCACCCCAAGTCCAGCCAAATGACATCTTTGTGTAACATCTACACTAGGAAATCATGGCTTTAATGGCTCTGCATCGAGGAGGTATGACTTCCTTCCCCGGATGCTCGGAGAGAAAGAGCCATGTCTGTGTATAACCACAAGGTCATTGACAGCCTAATGCAGGCCCCCGCTTCATTATCTGGCTCATGTCTACACAATGAAGAACGTCATCTGAGGAGTGATGATGTGTTAACACTTTCGCTCTCTTGCGATCTAAACGCGTAATACAGGTTCTAGATGCGTTCCCTATTCAATTCATGACGAATCGAGCTCCATCAGAGTTGGGCTGAGGGTATTCTTAAGCAGATTGGCATTAGGCCTACCACAAGACAAAGTTATTGTTGGAGAGTCTTGACGCAAGATGATACCTACGCTTCTTACATTGCCTCCAACTTCTATAGTAGGGCCTGCTCAAAGTCAACCCCACCGAGACCTATATATATATGGGGTAAATTCTCCTGTGGACTGCCCTTTCTTTGTCTTTCCAAATCTAAAATTTTCCAAGTCTCTATGTGATAATATCTTATTACAAACCAATTGACCTCCGAATTTCCTTGTGGTGCTCAGCATCGACATCAAACACCATGGCTACCTTAGGATTACATGCAGACGGACCCTATGGTGGGATGGGCGGCAGTTCCTACGACGCCAGAGATGGTGAAGAGAAAGTCAAGCATGTTGATTTATGGACCGCAAATTACGGGGATCAAAACCAATACGAAGTTATTGGAGCGTTCAATCTAGAATTCCAAGACGGTTATTCGACCGGTAGAATCGGCGGAAGGAATAACGCCGTCCCACTTTACGGACCATATTCATATGATTTTGCGGATGATGAGACAATAAATTATATGTGGGTCAATGCTGGAGACGGAGAAGGCTTCGTCAACGGACTCGGATTCAAAACCAATAAAAATTCCGATGGTTTCAATGTTGGTGGACATGAGGGTCACGAAACTGAACTGACAGGTCCTGATCTTGGTGCGAATGGCGAATGGGCCGGAGCTACAGGCAGAGATAACATACACGGCGCTGATGCCGTTGTGGACAACATGATTCTTTATTTCAAGGAGTGATGATGGGACTTGATTACTATTACCTGGTTCGTGTTGCTTTGGTTTCAAATTGAACTCTGCAGTACACACTGCCTACCTAATTATTGCTCCTGTGATATTGCAGGTATCGTGTTATGCGTCAGCTACGAGTATGGTGGAACGCCTGTTATCTGTGCCATGTTTAATCATTGATGATGTGAAGGAAAGTGTTAATTAAATGACTTCATCGCACAAGATGCCTTGGTATGGGTTTTTGCCGGAGTCATCCGTTTTTCCCATACTGTCGTGCGAATGCAGAGGCAACTGAGATAGTATAATAATATAATAATCGTTGCTCTAATATAATACATTATAGTTTATACTCCACAGATTACCCACATCCCTCTTCGGTATAAGCCTGCTCACAACGAACTGTAAAGCCAAACATACATACAAGAGAACTCTAAAACTCAACAATGATTCAACGCCCACCGGCAGAATTCTAGACGATATCTTTGCATTAATATATGCCCTACACAGGAGCAAAAATTGAAGAAGCAAAAAGTCATGACAAGAGTGGGATTCGAACCCACGCCCCTTTCGAGACTAGGAATGCTCCGAAGAACATGGAAGATCAGATACACCTGACCCTAGCGCCTTAGACCGCTCGGCCATCTTGCCCGTTTTGTTACAGGTTGCTCAGCATCTTAGCAGTATCAACGCCATAAGCTTGCTTTGCGAACTGAGTCGGCCTCCATCTTCCGTAGGTAAAAGTGAATGTATATTTCGCTTTGCATGAGCTTGTAACATTTTAAAGGAGCTACGGAGGTAACACCACTATGGAACTTCGGTTAGGTTAAGGAACTTTGCAATTTCGATGGCTGCGATAGGTGGGTTGTGGGGGTTTGGCTGATACTAACTACGACGGTCAACCACTGACATATATTTCTCGCTACTACTAGGTTTCTCAATATCATCCGTCATAAACATTCAACTATTAACACTAAAAGGGGCAGCTTCCTTACCCGTGAACTTAACCGAGCACTAGTTGTTTAAATTTACAGTCCATCATATGATCTTACGACGAACCTATTAATACTTGGTTATGATTATTGACAGCTGCCCATTCTCCCTCCAATCTCCCACACGAACAGTTCAGACGCCCTCGCCCTTCTTCCGCGGATACTGCCAGGTCCAGTTCCGAATATAATCCGGATCAATGCCACCATCGTATGCTTTTTGCTTGGCCAGCAACTGCATATTCAGGAATTTCTCCCTCACCCCGGACGCCGTATTGCCCAGTCCACGGGCATGATCGATCGCATCGACAGCCAAACTATACCGATCTGTCTGATTCCTCACCGCCAGCTCAAACGGCGTATCAATATTCCCCTTCTCCTTGTATCCCCTGACATGGATGTTCTCCTGTCCGGGTCTCTTGTACGTCAACCGATGGATAAGCCACGGGTACGAATGGAAGTTAAACACGATCGGCCTATCGGCTGTGAAAATAGCCTTCCATTCCCGATCGGACATTCCGTGCGGGTGATGGATCTTGGACATGAGTTTGAACAGATCGACCACGTTGACGAAGCGCACTTTCAGCTGGGGGAGGTGCTCGCGCAGCAGCGCCGTGGCGGCTAGTGCCTCGTGGGTGGGAACGTCGCCGCATGCGGCCATCACGACGTCTGGTTCCGCACCTTGGTCGTTACTGGCCCAGTCCCAGATCCCGACGCCCTTGGTGCAGTGTGCGATTGCGGCGTCCATGTCCATGAATTGGATGTGGTCTTGTTTGTCGGCGACAATGACGTTGACGTAGTTCGCGCTGCGGAAGCAGTGGTCCATTACGGAGAGGAGGGAGTTCCCGTCTGGCGGGAGATAGATGCGTACGACTTCGGGAGACTTGTTGGCCACGACGTCGAGGAAGCCTGGGTCTTGGTGGGTGAAGCCGTTGTGGTCTTGGCGCCAGACGGTCGCGGTGAGGAGGATGTTCAGCGAGGCGACTTTGGCGCGCCATTCAACTTCGAGACATTTTTCGATCCACTTGCAGTGTTGGTTTACCATTGAGTCGATGATGTGGATGAAGGGCTCGTAGCTGTTAAGGAGCCCATGACGGCCTGAGAGGACGTATCCTTCTAGCCAACCTTCACAGGTGTGTTCACTGAGCATTTCCATTACTCGACCGGACATGGAGAGGTTTCCACCGTTGGAATCTTCGGGGAAGTATTCAGCCAGCCAGACCTTCTTTCCGGCTTTGTAGATCTCGGAGAGTTTATTTGATTCGGTTTCGTCCGGCCCGAAGACACGGAAGTTGGTCTGGTTGAAGGCGACCACATCACGGAGGTAGTGTGACATGTTGACCATGCTGCCGCGGATGGTAGCTCCCGGATCGATGGATGTGAGTGCGTACTTGCGGAAGTCGGGGAGGTCCAACGGTCGCCGTAGGAGCCCACCGTTACCCACCGGATTGGCGCTCATGCGATAATTACCGGTTGGAGCGAGGGCCTTGAGTTCAGAGATCAGACGACCTTCTCGAGTGAAGAGCTCTTCGGGTTTGTAGCTCTTCATCCACGATTCGAGAAGCTGGAGATGCGAAGGATTGGTGAGGACGTCGGTGATGGGGATTTGGTGGGCACGCCAGAAGCCCTCGAGAAATTTGCCATCAACTTCGCGCGGGGCGGACCAACCCTTTGGGCTGCGCAGAATGATCATGGGCCAGTGTGGGCGGAAGGGCTCCTTGGACTCGCGGGCTTTCTTCTGAAATTTTCTGATTTCAAGAACACAGTGCTCGAGCGTAGCTGCCATAGCTTGATGCATGGTTTCGCGATCGCTACCTTCCACAAAGTAGGGGGTCCAGCCGTAACCCTTCATGAGAGCAGAAAGCTCATCATGGGAGATACGTGCGAGGAGTGTCGGATTGTTGATCTTGTACCCGTTGAGATGGAGCACGGGCAAAACGGCTCCGTCGGTGCAGGGATTGAGGTACTTGGTGCTGTGCCAGCTTGTAGCGAGTGGCCCAGTCTCGGCCTCACCATCGCCCACCATGGTCAGGGTGATGAGATTGGGATGATCGAATACGGTGCCAAAGGCATGCGAAATGGAATACCCCAGCTCGCCACCTTCGTGAAGACTACCGGGGGTTTCTGGGGTAGCGTGGCTGCCGATACCCCCGGGGAAAGAGAATTGCTTGAAGAACCTTTGCATTCCTCGCTCGTCTTCTGACTTGTCCGGGTAGACTTCGGAGTACACTCCCTCCAGATATGATTGTGAGAGAATGCCAGGGGCACCGTGACCCGGGCCTGAGATGAAGAGAACGTCCAGATCATACTTCTTGATCAGCCGGTTCATGTGAATCCAGGTGAACGATTGTCCTGCGTCTGAGCCCCAGTGACCGAGTAGGCGTGCCTTGAGATGCTCCACCTTCAATGGCTGTTTGAGGAGCACATTGTCGCGCAGGTAGAGCATACCCAAGCATAGGTACATGCTGGCGCGAAAGTAGGCGTCCATCTTCCGGACTTCCTCAGGGTCAAGGTTCTGGCCCTTGACCGTGGAGCGAGCAGCTCCATAAGCGGAGATGCTCTGATCGTTTGAATCCGATGGCATGTTGTATTAGTTTTACGCTTGGTAAAGTACCCTTAGTTGAGATGAGATCTGTGATGCCGGTAAGCTCCTATTTAAGGCGGATATGTGGATGGCTGGAACTGGCCATTGTTGATGTGGGCTGACATCCCAATGGTCTCTATGCTCGTAATTCCCGGATAGCATCCTGGTAAAGGCCATGTAGTAGCCAGTCCATGACGCTGGCTTCCGTCACCCTCCGCGCCTGCTGCGTCACTGGAAGAGATGATGTATGTTAATTGGTTCGGATGGCCTCTACCGGAGTTGTGGTACGCTAGTCCTGTTCCGGGGCTGACATCTCTCCCCGGGCCGTTTGTGTGGGCCGACACTTTTTCTTATGGGCTGATGTTCAGCTTCTTATCCCGGAGTTTGGCGGTAGTAGGTGCTGAAGTATAGGTTGGAAGGGCTTTGGATGTGAAAAGCCAGTCCTACCTTCACTTGTGTTCTCTAGCACCAGCTCATCAAGCAATCTTACATTATTTTCTTTGGGCAGGCCTAGTCGGATGTCGGCTGAGGATGCATGCTATGCTAGCAACATGGATTACACGTTCTGGAGTATCTACAAGCCAGGGTTACTCAAGCAATGAACACAAGTTGATGCTATTTAGGAACAGCATAGCGCAACTACTAGAGTCGTATCAGCATCACAGAAAATACACACTCTCTGCTACTTCACCATGTACCACATTCACCATTCTTAATACTCAAAAGCTTCGCTAACGATATCTTCAGTCAGCTTCCACAGTCGTTCTGCCTCGATCAGATCCCGGGCCCAGCTGCGGACCTCCTCCGGCTTGGCTACTGCACAGTCCTGAACAAAGCTTCCATTATTCTCTGCCAGACTTGATTAGCTTAGAGGAATGACCGGCACATAGTGAATACTTACCACTGGCGGAGATAGATGGATGAAATGCGGCAAATACATGCGTCGCCACACCTTGCGACATAGACTTCCAGGTTATCTCTCTTTGATCACTCCGGAAGTACCCGAGCACTGTGAACCATTTCGCTTGGGTAATGTCAGCATGCTCTCGCGCAAAGGAATACAGAAGTGACCCTACCGAGTGATTCGTACATCTCATTCCAGTCTCCTCGAGCCAGATTAGTGTTGATTGTCCCAGGGTGTAAGCTGACTGAGGTTAGGCCTTTGCTCCCCAACTTTTGTGCTAGAGACACAGAGAAGAGCATGTTGGCCGACTTGCTATGGCCGTAGGCCAGCCAGGGGTCATAGTTTTTGCCTTCCTGATATAGCTATCAGCTCATTATCTCGACATTTGGAGAGGGAGGGGCATGGCATGATAACTTACGTCAAAGTTCCAGTCATGGAACCTGACTGAACTCAGCAGGTGGCCGTTGCTAGACACATTCACAACTCGGCAAGATTTTCCAGGACGTACTAGCTTTTTCATGATCAGATTAGTGAAGAGAAAATGCCCAACGTGATTGGTGGCAAATTGACTCTCGATCCCATCATCCGTTAGCGAGAACGGTGATGCCATGACACCAGCGTTGTTGACCAAGACATCTATATCCTCCTTGTATGTCAGAACTTCCTTAGCGGCGATTCGGACTTGGGCTTGAGAGCGCAGATCTAGTTCAAGGAGACGGGTGGGTACTCCTGGCGCAATGTCTGCGATCTCCTGGGCTGTCTGCTGAGCTTTGGCAATATCGCGGCTAGCAAGAATAAGGAAGGAAGGGCCGTGAATAGCAATGACCTTTGCAAACTCGGCACCAAGACCACCTGGGCTAACGCCAGTCACGAGCACAGTCTTGTTGGCAATGGCATTCTGGCAATCCTGTGCTACCTGTTCTGCCGAAGTTTGAGAGGAATATGAAGACATAATGATGAGAAGCGGTCTGCGAGATTTGATGCTCAAGTGATATAACGCTTCCGAAGGATATTTGAAGATTGGTGAAGGTGAGATGAAGGTGAGATGAAGATGAAGATGAGGAAGATAGAACAGAAGTCCTGTATGTGGGAAACGATCACAGCATATATAGGGCCCTGATTGAAAGATGCGTGCAGCCTCCTTACACTTATTTCCGAGATAGTCAAGGACTTCACGTATAATTGAGCCCGATTCGTATATATTCTGGTCATCAATTCGACCCATTTTGCTCCTCATGTTGGCTCGATTAGTAGATTTCCTATTTGGGTCGAATTAATCCAAGACTGGTAACCCGATTGGGTTAGTGTCTGAGGCTAGTCACGATGACGGAGATAACGGAGCAACGCTAAGCCCGGTCCCTTTCAACAGGATTACTGTCCCATATGACCCTTGACTTCACTTCATCGCATTTCCTTCGTGTATACAGCATCCAGGGCCGTCTAGTACCTTACTTCTATTCTCGATGGATAACATTCCGAGTGAGGTGGTATTCTCAACGGGGCCATTACCATCCGAATCGGTGGTGTTTCAGTATACCAATGGTCCACCTAAGATATCTCCACCAAAGAGGAGAGGGCGTCCCGCAGGATGTTAGTCCACAAACCCATCTAGAAATAGAATATCAGCATGATCTGACCAAATTTAGCGACAAAGAAGAAGCAACACCTTGAGGGGTCCCGGCGTCAGTCCGCCGCCGCTTCCAACTTTAAGTTCATCAACCTTGGGCTCACGTTGGCCCCAGTCGATGAAGAAGAGCGCACCACCATCCGAAGCCACACAATGATTAACCATACTCGTCAGGATCAGAGGAAAGCCGAGATCACTCCTGGCGATAGTAGCCTTGAGCTGTCTCGCCTGACCCACATCCATATTCCACATGCATATCCGCAGAGGAACCAGACTGATCCCTTTGACACACTGCCCATCACCATGGAGCCATACATGTTTGATCTCTTTGCGTTTTGTGAGTGAGGAAGATGGTGAATCATTTTCCTGTGCACACCTAGCTAACAAAAACTCTCGAAGACAAGAATCGCGCATCAGAGACACTCTACTCAATCGAGAAGAGAGCCGGCTGTAATCCAATAGACGACTATTGGGTACCAATGCTGTTTCAAGATCCAGCAATGCTTCATGTAGTACTGGCATGTGGTTCATTATTTACCATGGACTTGCAACGCTTTCGAGCAAGCCCGGCTTTTGTATGGCACATTAGTCGAGCTATGAATATTGTTCGAAAGAGACTCGTAAATTCAGTGGATCCGCCTTCGGATGAAACAATAGTTGCAGTTGCCAGCATTGCTATTGCAAAGGTTGGTAGAATTCTGTGCAAACAAAGCTGATGTGCTGGCTGATCCTTTGCAGAAAGCAGCAGGCCAGCATGATCAATGGGAAGTTGACATGAGGATCCTGAAAGCATTAGTTGACGTGCGAGGAGGTTTGGACGCATTGAATGACAAGCCGATGGTACAGGGAAAGATATATAGGTAACATGCTTTGATCCTCGTAATTCTGATAGTCTCTTAATTGGTTCTTTAGGGCCGATATCAGTGGATCCTCAGATGGTGGACGAAGGCCCATTTTCAATGATCGGTTCCAACATTCCCCAATCCCAAATCCTCACGACTACCATTTAGCACAAGGTTTCCAAGACCTGGATTGCCTGCTGCGCACAGATAGTGCACTGAAAGAAGTGATCCATGATATACAATCCTTAGTCGAGGAGTACTCCAGTGTTACAAAGAGCAGCGGCCAAACCGTCGTTGCGAGGATCCGTTTCTGGCTGACGTCAATCCAGTATACACTTCTTTCAATGCAATATGGAGAAGATTATCCCAGAACGCAAGCCCAGGAGGTCTGTCGACTTAGCCTCTTATCACTGATGAACGCGGTGTTTCATGAGTCTCCTCCTGGTGCATCAACCAGCGATGTACTTATCTCACAGCTGCGGCGGCTCCTGGAGAATGCTGAAGTATTATACTGGCTTCCACCCGCCTTTCGTCTTTGGACCCTGTACCTTGCTGCTTGCAATGTTGCATCTCCCACATTAAGAGCTTGGTCGATTACAGCTATCGCAGAACTGGTGCTGCAAATGGGCATCTCGGATGGGGAAGAGTTCAGTCGACAACTCACGTTGTTTCCATTTGACCCACCTACACATAATGTCATTTGCCCAACGATATGGGATGAGGTGCAATACTATGTCCAGAATCAGTCGGGCGGGGAAAGCACAGCGCATTGATATGAAATCCCCCAAGAAAGTCACAGTGAAACCGGTAGCATCATCTGTTTCAAACCCTCATAGCGAACTTACATAGAATGAATTTCTTCGAACAACCTATCCTGTTTATCTATATCTCTAGCATGACTGTCTCTACGAGCTTGAGCAAGCGCACTTCAGTGAAATGGAGCCCTATGGGCTTCCGTACAAATCTCCGCTTTCTCCAATACATGGCTTCAACGTATAGCCAGCCTGACAAACAGATAGCCCCCATTCGACATCTCAGGGATCCGGAAGATTCCAACTTCAAGTTCTAATCAGTCTGTACAAGGGAGTTCCATGATGCGTGAACCGACATAGGCACTTGGTCAAACCATATTTCCCCTTGATCGCAGAATACCGGGTAGCGTCCAAATTTTCTTTTCCTCTTGTTTCTTTCTTTCTTTCTTTCTTTATTTTCTTTTCTTTTCCACTCTTCTAGTGGAGAGGGAAACCTGGAGAACCCGGAGAGGGACTCACAGGTAAAGGCATTTACCTCGATGCAAAGAGGGAATCCCCAAATAGATGGGATTATCCCCAGCGGGATATCTGTTATCTGAGGTAAGGTCCGGGACAGTATCATCATGAAGCTAACTATATGGATACAGAGGGTAACTTCCGCTAGCTTTACAGTCGGGAACAAGTATATAAGGCAGATGTGACCCCCTCGATCTGGCTCTGAATCAATCAGCTCTCGCTCAGGCTTCTACCGCAAGAAATAGGGACAGGGCCACTAGATCCTGCCCCTATCTCACTGCTTATATTCCGTCCCAATATATAATGTATGTATAAAACAGAGACCATGACTACAATGGCCGAAGTAGAGGATATTTGGTCTATCCAAACGTGTCTCGTCCCATCATGCTGCGCTCAAAATCCTCTGCAGTGGTAAAATGATGACGATGCCGTATAGAAAAGGCATCCAGAGAGTCAGGTGTCTCTGAAACCCAGCAATATACAGAAGGACAGTGGTTACTATGTCTACCAGTCCAACAGCAATGAGTTCTCATGCTACTCATCCAGGACATATACTACCCGAGTAAACGACAACTACTGCAGCCTGAAGACAGCAATATCAAGAGTGCCGTACAATTGGTCCTCCAAGTTATTTTGGGCTTGCCAGAGACAGTTACTAGACTGTCCCAAAAGGGGTGACTCTATGCGTGGATGAATATCTTACAAATGATACCTCTACAAACACCTGCCATGGTGGCGGCTGAGATCAATGATCAATCAATGGATGGTCAATTCCGGGCTAAGTTAACCACATAAAGCGACAAGCGAAACGATACAGTTATTTCGCCCGGGTGTTCTTCTCCATGCCATGTCTCCTGGCGATGTGAATCGTGTTGTCTAGTTTGAAGAAGGCGAAGCTCTACGCCAAACGTCCTATGACATCATATATAAAGGGATATCTTCGCTTACAGCAAAGCCTGCCACACAGTCACGAAGGAGATTGAGAGGATGTATGAGAAACTCAAGGACATGCGGTGACTTCACTTCTGCCCTGAGAGGCACAATGACGACTATACTTCTATGCTTGACTACATGTCTCGCTTGCGTCCTTGCCAACGAATTACTGCACATGGTAACACCATATGGTTGATACCCTTCTCGCCACAGATGGACAGTGACGATGATACAACAGCTGACCCAACAGGCCATTCCAAAGGGCCACATTCGAGCTATGCATCTAGCCCAACTTTACCTAAATGCAGCGTGAGCCAATTGTAATCAACATCGTCGCAACATGTCATTGTGCTTCTGGTTAGGCCCCATGAAACAAAGCCACCCGCCGCAGTCTGTCATTGCGACCGCCATCATCGCTACATTCTGTCTATCTACATAACAAATAACAACCATGCTCTGGCGCCAGATGTCAGTGTACAACAACAGAGGTAGAGTCATTCATCTTTGTCTTCTCTGCGTCTCTCCAAACTGAAGTTCGACATGTGCATCCCCTTCTCAACCAACAGCCGGGCAAGACACCATCCCATCATAACAGGAGCTTGAAAACACGAACACGGATATTCCCACTTGTCCAGGGGCGCAATAGATACACATTGAGTCCAATGTGTTGCACTAATTGATGGTGGTTCCCAATGACAGGCTCACCTACACCTGAAGCCAAGTCTGATCCGAAGCCGAACATGGCAACGACAATACAAACCATACAATTTGCGACTGGATCAAGAGAACGAATCTACACCGCTGTGTCGTTTGCAAGTAGATTCGCCATTGGCACCACTGCCGAACCAGGGACACATGTACAAAAATTGAAGGGTTACATCCAGAAGCAATGAATGGCCTTCAACTTCCGCGATATCACCTTTGTACCACCCACCCACTTGCAATCTAAACTGGCGGTCCCGCGTGCTGAAATCCCTGAGAAGACTGCCATTATTTCTGGCTTGGTGCTCGTTCCCAATGCCAGGCATATAGGGGAACCAGCAAGAACTACAACAGGATAGACAATATATTGCTTGATGGTTGTGTCTTGGAAAACTACATCCCAACGGTCCTTGTCGACGGTAATGATTATATACATCATCATGTCTGGTCTCTTGACTGGCTGCGGCTTCTGGCTGACTTTCCAATGAACCGGTGTTTTCTCTCTATAAATCAGAGAGTCTTGAACCAAAGAGAAAGAGGTGGCAGTATCGGTACGGTGTGCTCTAGCTCCACACCTCTCTTCATATAGACCTACATCCCAGAAGCTATGTCAGTATCTTCCTCAAAGGAATGACCAGGAATGACTAAACAGCATTTCCACCAACGACATGTCTTCCTCATGCGCATGACACCACTTACAGTCAATAGACTTGCCTACTGTCTACCTACCCACCTACACATACAGAATATCTGAAATATATCAACTTGTCCGATCAGTGACAGCAATCTCACCATCCGTCAAGCTGGCCCTTTCTCGAAAATAGAAAACCAGATCATATCGGAACAAACTCTTTTTGCAACCACTTACGATGCCTCCTCCCTTCTGACGCTTAGCTTCGGACATCACCGCATCAGCTGGTAAAGGGAGGGGATGGGGGCCGTACCGTTATGCCCTATGTGCTGCTCCATATAGATAAACCAAATCATTACTTTTACGCGCTTTAACCAATGCTCATGGCTCAACACCGTCACAAAACTGACAAAATGGAGAAGAACTATGCCAGTACATTCAATCCGGGATGGCATCTCCCTCTACCTGAAGGAGATTCTTCTCATCAGCACCCCATTGATTGGACTTCCATTCCCCAACGTACTACATTCGCAAATTGTCCAACCATCTTGGATATACAAATTCCCTTTCTCGCCATTGGTGTTTCCGGTCCGCGAGTTGCTGAACACTGCACAATATCCGGGCTGCTTTTCTCGTATATAGGATATCAGAAAGAGCCCACCAATGTCAGAATGACTTTGGATGAAAGGAGTATACGAAGTGGAATGAACAATGGCCTATCAAAAGAAGGTGGCGTGTCTGTTCCCTATAGGGTAAGGCTTGCTTTTGAAGCAGGAAGAAACATATATACCGCCTGCCTGCCATTTCACGGATACAATGTTCGTCCGGCACCGAAACATCCAAAGTAAGAAGAAGAGGGTGAACACTACTAGTAACACCATCTTATCTCATAGGGAACAGACCTTACCCTTCTAGGGTAGGCGGAGGGGGTATGACCTGAGATGAGTGAGCAAAGGCCAGCCGGTGTGAAGGCAGCCTGCGTGCCTGGCCAGTATGGCGGTAGCTGTCCCTTATATTGAACAGCTACCACCCACAATGATGGTTCTGGTGTGAACGGGAACTATTAGCCCAAGGTTAATGATGGTTATTAGTGGACCATTATCAACATTCCGGATAGCTATTATTCTTGCTTTCTTGGCCTTGGGCTGTATATATTCGACTGATTTGGTCTAGTCTCATGATTGCTGCTGGTTGCTTGGTGAAAAGTGCGTTTGCTTGCGATGTAATGGGTTTATGAATCTGGTAGCTACGGTAGCGTAGCGTGTCATTAGGTGGTTTCAATGTGAACTTTTTGATCAGATGTGATAGATGGTGGGGATAGGGATATGAATGGACAGGGAGCGGAAATAGATTAAGGTTGCATGTTTCACTGTCAGTGCTGGGAATGTTGGAATTCAAAAATAAAGCGTTCTGATCCCAGTAGATTGGTATGCATCAGTATTCTATCCTACAAAATACCTAAGCATTAAACATTAATAATAATATCGCCCACGAAATGTCCCATAATCACGGCATCTTGCTTTCCCTGCCAGATATTGAAACGAAATATTTTACATGGATCAATATGAATTATACGGAACCCAGATATGAAGGCATTCATGCAATATATAGGGTGTACATCCCTTCCCACAATGATTAGTATTAATGTAAGAGGGCTCTGGATCATTACGTCTCTGACTCTGGTCCTTGGGTAGGACCTGGTCATTAAATGTTACATATTGAAGTAGGCTCTCAGTATAAGGCTGTATGAAGCTTGCCAATCTGTCTGGAAATATAGTTATGATAGTAGTATTTCCTATGTCGTACTTCCCGCCACATACCCCTTTAAGGCCCTCAACCATTGGTCCTATTATGGTATTTTTGTTGCGTCTAGAGTCATACTATCAGTAGAATCGAGTCTCTCTACATCAACGACATAGATAGAATTTCTTGTTTCGTAATTGACGTGGAATGTAATATAGCACACGCAAAGCCAGAGGAAAGGAGATGGGAAAGTGTTTGAAGCTTGCGATTGTTTAATGTGTTTCCTTGTATAGGGCTGACATGCCAGTTGCCAAATAAGGGCACAATAATGACGATGGTTTTGTTTGTAATATACTTTTGTCTATTTAAGGTAAAGGCAGAATTTTTAATCAAAATACTACGCGAAGGGGTATGCTGAAAGACAACTAATAGGTCCGAAAAGGCATCCTTCGAACAGTTCCGGTGTGCAAACGACATAGTTGAGGTCATAATGATAGAAAAATTCGGAAGTTATGTCTGCCAAGGAAGGTAAGTACATAAAACCCAACGAACGAAGATAAAGCTAATAGAGTCGCACATTTATACAATTTAACGAACAGAATGGAGGACCCTAATGCATACTGGCCAGATATTGATATCGATCCGTACCCAAATCCATCATATAAGTGGGTACCATTCTGCTATATCTGTTGCAGTGGGTTTACCACTGTCCCGAGAGATCACTCCCTTGGCCGGGATACTTACTCTAGGCCGAATGCCTCTGAAATCACATACACGGCTCACGAGTTAGAAGACCTTCATGCCCTTACATATCCTGGCTGGCGAACCCTCTTTCGGCTGAGTATGTTCTAATATCTCTGGTGGTAGAAAAAGATAGAGCTCATGCTAATTTTTTTTTTTCTTTTCCAGTTATGTATGACCCTAAATCGCGGAGCTATAAACTCTCTGGAATTTCTCAGAATTTCTATCCATGGCGCAAGTTCCACGCTCCGTGGAATGAAAATGATGGGCTTATAAGTGTCGGGAACTACAAGAGAATCTGGCGGCATAGACTAGCGGCACCTAAGCTAGTACAATGTAAGGAAAATATCGAGAAACAGTCGAGTCTTGCTGGGTATTTGGTTCACGCTAGGTGTTGGAGGGAATTTCTTCGAGTCAATAACTGGCATCACCTTACGAAGGAGAGTTTAGGTACCCTGTCTCGCGCGCTGCGAATGCGCTGTTGGAAGGAATGCTATCTATTATGATGATCCTATAGAGTCATTCCTAATAATGGAACCTAGAGGTAAGTTTTTCATACACTCCCATACACTCTCATACACTCTCATCTATCTAATTGGTAGGAATGATGAAATAACACATGAGATATAACAGATCCCATGGGAATGACATCAGTTCGGCGATTTGTCACTCGATGCAGGAATAGAGCTAAATATAAAGCCAGCAGTATACCATGCTCTACCGATTCATGGCTTATTCGTCTTCCAATGGAGTTACAATATATGATCATGGATTATCTTTCTTATGAGGATTTCTGCTCAGTCCTGGAAGGAATTCAATGGACAGTTGACAAAGGTTATTGGAAGCTACGGCTCAATCTCAATCTATTCAGTGAGATACAGAGTATCTTACACGAAGATTTAGATTGGCGATGGCTTTGCTTGAAGTTGGAGGTTCTTGAGCATAGCCAGGCTGGGGTGGACAGAAAGCGTTTCTTCACGCTGCTGGAGGAAATAGCGGTTCAATATGGCTTAACGAAAACGATCAAGTGATGCAGGTTGGTAGAGCATAAGGAAGGGGAGTAGACCAACTATATGTGATAATGGGAACTACGGGGTTGCACCTTCTATGTCCAGATGTGATATCTATGCTTCTTGTCAGTCTCGCGAGGAAAATGAGTAAACTGCCTCGGGGGGAAGCTCCAGATCAAAATTCGTGGGACCAGCAACTGTGTTTCCAGAGAAAAGAAGAAGATTAGCTTACAATATACCGGTTCGACAAAATCTTCAGACATGGCCAATGTATGATTGCCCTCACCGTACAATATGGAAGCCATAACTCATGTCTTTCACTGAAGTATACGGAGAATCAAGCCTTTCAGGACGAGATGAGGGTTATGAACCGCTACCAGCAAGAAGGAGTCATCACAGGATTATGGAACCTAATCCTGAATATTCACTTTCCTTCAAGTGAGGACTTCGTTCATCGCCCTCAGCATGGAGGGAAAAAAGGCGGGAGTGCAGGATACACCGATATTGAGTCGTCCGTGTGGAATCAGCACCACAGGGCGAAGAGCAGACGACCAACGCGGTTTTTGGTGACGCAGTGCAAACGCTTCGCAAAGGTAGGGCAAGACAGCGGATGGGCAGACGGAGTGCGTCAAATGAATGTCTACCTCGGGGACATTGCTTCCTCATCAAAGGGACGCAAGTATGGCATATATGGTATAATAGCAATTGGTAAGCACGTTAGGTTCTACGAATGGGACCGGAAGAACAAAATGGTGGTCGATTTGGGAAGTGGACAGCCTTATCATGTCAAAGACGACAGCGTCCAAGTGCTAAATTTTCTGAACATGATTAAACAGAACCATAGATATGTTTAGACGACTAATATGTCTCTAACCCTACAAACTACCTAAGCATTAAACAGTAATAATAAAACATCACCCACGAACATGTCCCATAATCACGGCATCTCCAATGTCAACATCCAAAAACCAAAGACCATAAAAGACAACACTAACGCATATAGCCAACAACTAAAGAGGAACCCACGGCCCTCCAACAGGCGTGCTGGGCGACCTCAACAAAACCCCCAAATTCTCCTCCTCTGCCAAAACGGCCTCAATATCCCTGGCCCGCATGAGATTCCACCAGCGCTGAAATTCTTCCCTGAAACACTCAGGATCATACAACGGCCCAAACATAACCGGCTGAGGGTCATCATCCGGACCATTGCCAAACCCAGTGGTTGTCATCCGAGCAAGCGTCAGTCTCCACCACCTGGTTTGTTCCGACCAAGCACCGAAGTTGATCCTGAGAACCAACAGCGTTTCAATATATCGAGCCGGCTTTGCCATTATAACCGGGGCAATGTCCTGCGGAAAGCGGCCGAAGTTCGGCTGTCCATGCTGATAGCCCGTCAGGGGTAGTCGGCCGTCATTGCTCAACATGTAGGATAGATTTGTCGGTCGAGGGATTCCAGTAGGAATTGGAGGATTGCCTGGGAAGTACCACCGCTTGGTATAGAGGCATATGTCTATGTGGGGTATCTCTCCTTGTTCTGCTGCTGCTGGTTCCTGAGCACCAGAGCGTTGTGAAGCTTGGGATGGCGTCATGGTAATCTCAGGGTGGGTGTAGACGTGAAAGCGGTGGACAGGCGTCGGGCGGCCTGATTCACGGGTCGTGGCAGTGGCTGAGGCGCAGCGTAGGAAGTAAGGGTATTCATGGACATATTCGTAGTTGCGGAAAAAGTTGGCGGCTCGTGTCAAATGCTCGTCCTCGAGTACGAGATCGAGGTTCTGTAGGAAGTTAGCAGATAGAGAGGAAGGTTGAGGAGGGCATGTACTTGTGCTATGCTGTGGTATCCCATAGCCCTCATCGCTAGATCACCCCATAGTAGACATGGAATACCCTCGGCTTTGAGCACAGAGCTGATGGATGAAGCGAATCTGTAGGAGACAATCGGGGTTTGTGGGCCCTCGAACAGGAACTGATACATGGATTGTTGTCCTGTCATGGTGGTACATATACAACTGTATAGAGAATTGAAATATGGATGTTGTGAAAAGATAATGGCAAAACATGTTATCTAGGAGAGTTGTAGTAGGGACGTAAAGGAAATAGAGGGAATTGTAGAGGATGTGGTAGCATGTCAAGTCTTCATAGTTCCTGCCTGATGAATATTGAATCACACGCCGGGCACAGGGAAAGGGCTGTGACATTGTGTTGCCAGCCTACGTAAATAATTACAAGTTCTTTCCAGTTCAAGTACGGTGCGTACTACCGAGTTTGTCAACTACAAGTGTAGAGAGATTCACATACAGTATTCTCGTCGAAGGAATCCAATAAAAGCAAGATGTGTGATTTAGAGACACATAACTATGTATCTAGAGCTATTCGTCTGTATCCACCGCCCTATCGGACTCGGACATTCGAAAGGGTCCCGCCTCATCATCTGTCGAATACGGGGCACGGGGTGATATGCTGGTTCTATTATCCGGAGGATTTTCTTGTCCCCAATGGCTGTCGAGAGGAATGGGCTCTGGTTCACCGGACACCCCCATCTCGAGTCTTATCTCTTTCTCCAATTTATCTAGCAGTTTCGTGGAGGGTATGCTGGTATATTCCCCAGTCCTGCATGATTCCCACCATTCTCGGCATGTCTCGCTGAGGGTTTTTCGTTTTGCGTCCAACACGAATAGTTCGCCATAGTGAGCTACGTAAAGTAATATCTTGAAATGTTCTTCCAAAACATCCTCCCAGCATATTTCGCTTTTCTTGAAATGCTCGTCTCTCACCTTCAGGTAAACCAGGGCCTCGGCGAACCGAGCAGGCGTGGGCAGAACCAGGGGGTTTTTAGTGGGAGGATGGTCCTTGACACTGGGTCGGTGAACTCCCTCCCAGCGGAGCCTGCGGTCTAACGATAGCATAAAGTTCTCGTCCGCCTCGTTGGCCTCCGTCTGCACAGTGAAGTTGGGAAGTTTCCAGTACACATTGGATTTGCAGTGGAGTCTTAGATCGTGATGCAGTTGAGGTCCTTTCTCCACATTAAAAAGCTCCTCCAATCGGGTATGAGAGAATGAATCAAACAAGTGGAAAACGTGAACCGGCTTGAGCTCGTTGACAGGACAGGCTCCTCCGTTGTAGGGACACCCTGGGTAGTTGTCATCGTCTTTGAACCCAGCCTTGCGCAAGGTTTCAATGGCATCTTTCACCTGTTCGTCCTCAATAACCAGGTCCACTGAGATTGGAATCTGTCAAATTGGTAAGCGCGAGGTTCTCTATAGAATAACGCGTTAAATGTACTAGACGTACGCTACTATCATTGATTCTATGTTCGAAGATATATTTTAGCATGATACCCCACAGCACGCAGGGGATTGGAGGATCGACTTCCTTGAGAATGCTACTTGCGTCCGATCCTATGATAAATGTATCTCTTTGCCCCTGATACTCCTCCCCTTGATACTCATAGGATGTTATCGTGTATTGGCCTGGTGGTCGATATTCCTCGGGTGGGTCATCATCGCTCATACGTGAATGAAGAAGGGACGACGCTTCATTGTCGGCGTCATTGTCCGCATCGGATGCAGCTGATGTTGAATGATGGGATGGATGATTTTCCGCAAAAAAGATAGACGAGGGAGACAGTTCGTTGGAATCCCAACTAGCGGCCGTAGGTTTATCGTCCATTGCGAATCAAGGTGAAGGACTGTAGTCGAAAAGCCAGTCCGTTGTGTGACACACCGGTGATAATGAAAGGTTGTATACCATGTCTATCCCCCCTGCCTTTTATAGTTGAAGATAGTGCTGTATTCATGCTGGATATTATCTTGAACTTCAGGGAACATTACGTCTTAACAGCATTAGTTCTGGGAATATCCTGCTTCTGCACGGGGAGAGCCATCTCGTCTCTGGCATGAGATGGAGTCTGCTTGGATTATTGCGCAGTGAGATAATATAGCTTGGGTCATTCCGATGTCTTGTAGAGGCCAGGTATAGTAGTATACTCTCCTGTGGAGGACTGGTAGGAAGGAGTGGCTTATTGGGGTTCATTGGGGTGCATAAGCTAGTAATATCGAGTAAGGAGACATAAAGGGTATAAATGTTACTAGCATTAACTTATCTACAGATATAAGTAGGGCGGACGCAGAGCCACTTACGATGTTATGATCGTGTCACCCGATGCAGCGCAGTGCTCCTCCCACACCCGGCAATCGCATCGCTCAGGAGACAGCAAAAAACTACTTCAGGACGATGCATTAATCCAAGCCATTTATTATATACTAAGTACTTTTGTCATGTACATCACATATTTCTTTTCGTAATAATTACATTCCAGACATTCGGATCTCATTCCATATCAATCAGACTTGTCATCAGCAGTTGCTATGCTTCGAAGAAGATCACAGTTCAAGCGTGGAACTTCTTACCACCGGCAACATGAGACGATTTAAGAAGGGTCAACGAGTCACCAACAGTGCCATCATCGCCACGGATCAACTCCCACTTGAGGGCAGTTTCATTGAAGATGGTCAGCTTGCTGAAGCCATAGTGGACCTTGTCCAGCAGGGCGGTGATGTTGGTCAGACCCTCGCCGTCGCTGAATTCGCTGTGACTCTCGATGTTGCCAGCCATGCCGTTGATGATATGAGTGATGGACTTGCCGTTGTGGGCATAGTACGTGTTGTTGTTGACGATGGCGGCGGTATCGATGGTGCCGTTGGCTCCCAGAGGATAGAGACGCTCGTACCAATGGATGTGACTGAGTTTGTTAGCGGGAAATGTGGTACCTTTGCAACACTGGCACTCACCCAGAAAGGTAGGCGTCAACGCCATACTTGAGGAGTAGACCCTCGAACGCCTCGCGCACGTGTAGCTGGTACGAGGAGTAGGCAGAACTGTACATAGGACGGTGGCTCATGACTATCACCCATGGGGTCTTGCTGCGATCGACCTTGGCCAGGTCCTGCTGCAGCCAGTGCCACTGCTCATAGGACTTGGTCTCGTGGACACTGCCATTGACGTTACCGAACGGACCACTGTCGGTGATGAAGGTCTCGCTTTCACTGGGCAAGGTCTCGTTGCCGGTCACATCCTCGGCAAAGTTCCACTCAGGGCTGTTGGCGAAGTCGGTCTCGCCGTCGATGGAGACGAAGTGAGCAAGACCGTAGTCGAAGGAGTACCAGAAGTTACCGACACCACCAGTTTCAGGACCAGGCATGCGGAAGCGATGCTGATAAGCGGTAAAGTTTCTGTCACGATTAGCCACTACACCTCAGGATCAGGGGAGAAATATCTACCTCTGGGAAGGCGGGCAGCTGTAGTAGGTCAGGTTATCAGTGGGAGCAGTGCCGTTGGCAATGTCATCGTTCAGGTAAGCAGTGAGGATATTATGAGGACCGTCAAACTCGGCGCACGAGGCTTCATGGTTACCCGGCAAGACCATGTAGGGAATCTTCAGAGTGACGTTGTTGAGCCACTGTTGCCACAGATCCCAGTTGGACTCATACAGCACGCTCATATCACCACCTTGCGGGCCACCTTGGTCGGGGATTTCGCCCGCGGGCAAGGGCTTCTTGTACTCCTCTGGCAGAGGGCCACCGCCTGGAAGAGTTGAGCTGGTGCCGTTGTAGCAGACTGGCCAGTCGTCGGCACAAGCAAGGATACCCGAGTACCAGTCATCAGCGTAACTGAGGTCCCCACCGTGCCAGGCGAAGACAGTTCCTTCAGTGGCAGCCTTGACCAGCTGTTTGTGTGTGCCATGAGCATTGGTGTATCCCATATCATTCAACACGGCGACGCTGAACGAACCCGGGTGACCGGCAGGACGGCTAGTCTTGAAGCTGAGGACCTCCGACTGGGTGGTGCCATTGGCGGCAGGGATCTGGTAGTAGTAGGTGGTGTCGGGCTCCAGACCGTCAATGCTAACCTCGTGGAAGAATTGACTGCACTGGGTGACCGCCTTGACCTGAGAGCAGGAAGGAGTACGGTCGTATCTAGACCCGTCAGCACACAGCCATACCCACTAGTCGGGATATACATACGTGTGGGAGTAGCCCTGCGCAGTACTGTTCAAGTTGCGAGGGTCCTTCCCCCAGCGAACAGCAGGCAGCTGGCCCAGACCAAAGGGGGTCTGGTAGTGAATGTGCATGCCCTTGGGGATGTAGGACAGGGAAATCACATTGACATTGTTCCTGGGATTGGCGGTGGCCGGCTTGACGGCCGGAGGTTCAACCAGACGAGGGAAGCCTTTGCCGTTGCCATTGATGGTGGGATCGACCCAATCGCCGATTGGGACGGCCGGTCCAGTGTAGGGGAAACGCTCATCGACCACCGGACGGGCCTGGGCGGCCGTCGCGGAGAGAGCGACGAGCAGGGCAGAAGCAGAAACAGCAGTCCCCTTCATGGTCGCGTGCTTTCAGGTGACAAGCAGACGAGGATTCTTGGCTGATGGGGAGACAACTCTGGGGCCGCCCGACCGGTTTATATCATCCGCGACCGACATTATTATCTGCAGGTCGCGATAGCAAAGGCAGCGAGGCAAGGGATCACACGTGTAGATAGGCCGGGCAACAATTGGCTTCGGAGGAGCCGACGGGGAGCGGCGATGCATCGATCCAGGTCGGCTAGTTGCGACCGGAGGGCAGCGGAGAGACTAAGAGAGTACTAGAAAGCAGGGGACCAGGCAGTGAGTGGAGAGCTTCAGCTTCAACTCCATCGCCACTGAAGATATCGCTAGCCATGCATGTGCCGCATTTCCGCCCCAGCGATTGGTCAGTATTATATTGTCCTCAGGCATCGACATTCCCATCCCAGTGGGGCCTGCTGACTTCTAACACTCTGATTGGCTGGTCACTGATATGATTCCAGCAGCATCCCGGCACGTGTTGAGGGGTTGGTCAGCAATGAGATTCTTCCTTTTTCCAACTCTCTTCTCCGCATTGGATCAGGCAATTCTAAGCATGATCAATAACGAGACGCATGCCTGGTTTACACATACACTTCGCGAAATGCTTATATCCGTTGGACCCAAGGTCTACCACTCCCTGGTGCACGTGGTGCCTGACTGGACTGATAAGATGGTGGACATGACGTCCTCCCGAAAGCTACCAGATCTTGCCAACACACAATAGGGCTGACAGGGATATGATCCTGTCTAATGCATGGTACGGTTCGAGCACGTGTGAGAATAGGGCGCATACAGCATATCTACTTTATGCGCTCTCATGCTACACATTGGAAATGAACTGACATTCCCCCTCACCACTCGCCAGCACAGCAATTTCTTATTTCATACAAGCTCACTACTAACGGTGCATTAGACCCTATATTGTCTTAACAGTTATATCTGATTAGTACTATAGCGACGAGAACAGATGAATACATCCCCATGTCCAATCCGATTGACCCTGCACCTGCACGCCAAGTCCACAGCGACGTCGATCAGCTTGTATCACCTAACCAGGCACGCGACCAGTACATATGATACCTAAAAAAGAAACCAGAATAATTATTTTACACATCATGCATGGACAACACCAAATACAAAAATGTCGGTGAAGCATTAAGACAGTGTTCGGTTGAAATCTCAGCCCTACCGAATGCTTCCCATCCCGCAAGAGCAATTCAACCTTCATCCAGCTCTGGACTCCAAATTTACTATTAATCAATAAGACATCTTGAATATGTACAGCTACCTCAACTAGCCCTATATATTACGTGCAATCACTAACCCCCCACCAACCCCAACCCTCTCACCTACATATATACAACCCCTCCACCCCTCAAACCCCAAACTTCCCACCCTCCGGCACAGCCAAATACGAACACCCCTTATAATCGCACGTATCCTATGATCATCCTCATTAGCCACCTCCACCCCAAACCACCCCCTCCAACCCAATCAAAAGAAAGGAAGAAAAGAAAAGAAAAGACATACCTTATAAACCTCCGTCCCCCACCAACTAAACCCCTTACTCGCCCCACTAAAATAAACCGCAAAGAAGATAACCACCCCAGCAATCGACACCGACGAATCCAACGCCGAACTCAACACAAAATTATACTTATACCACCACCCCCACACCCTCCTCCGAATCCACCACCCAAACGTCAATCCCACAACAGCCCAACTCCCATAACTCGTCCCCGTCGCCGGAGGGAGGTAATTCAACCCGCCCAGAAACAGCGGGATATGAACTCTCCGCCAGAGGGAATTCGGATAGCGGCGTTTGAGGAAGTATACGGGGATGGGGAGGACAGCGCCAATGATGAAGAAGTAGAGTAAGGAGCTATAGCCGATCCCGTTGGTGAAGTAGTGGCGTGGCCCGATGGCGCCCCAGATAAGACTCGTGTTGAATTTTGTCCTCGAGAAGGGACAGCTGAACCCGTTGACGGCGTCGCTGGTGCACACGTTGCTGATGTTGCCCAGACTCCAGTTTAGGACGGCGACGGAGCTGAGGGTTCCGAAGATCATGCCGACGCATTGGACGATGAAGACTTTGCGGGGTGGGATCTAGGGATTACGTTAGTATTTAGGGATATCGGAAGGTGAGCGGTGGGTAGTAGTAGGTGTACCTTGCAGTAATCGCAAAGTTTCATGTCCTCTGCAAAGTAGAGGCCCTTGATGGTGGTGATGTAGCCGATGTCGAAGAACCAGATGTTAGCCAGGACTTTGCCTTCGAAGACGAACCCGGCGACGATGCGGCAGAAGATGTCGATGTTGATTTTTAGGTTGGAGGTCGCGTATACGATGGCGAGCTGCGTAGTTGAATTATTATTAACCTTTGAACTAATTGTGAATGGTGTAGAAAACACTTACCGGGCCGTAAAAGACCATAGCTACCGCGCAAGCTAGCAAGACGCCGTACCATCGCAGTTCGACGTTCCAGTATTCGACGCTGAATATGCAGATAAATAGTGCCAGTACCGCTGCACCGAGGTACCACAGGAACGGGACATCGCGGTGTCCCGAGTTGGTGTCGGTGTGTTTCTTGTCCTTGGAGAAATAGCTGCGCACGACGTGAGGGACTCGCAGAGCGCCGGCGGCTATGTCGTGGCGGTTCTCGAGAATCACCCAGACGAGGAGGGAGCTCAAGGTTGCGAATGAAAGGCCGAACATGTTCAAGGCGTAGGTTACGGGCATGTAGACCTGGAGTAATTGAGTCAGTAAAGATCGCGGAACTGTAACTGTAGCAAGGCGGCGTACCGGAGAATAGGCCTTGTATTTTTCGATATCCAGTTTGTAACCGGTCGCTTTGCTGACCACTTTGGATGCTTTGTAGGTGGCGCCTGTGTTATCATAGACTGAATAGGAGATGATTAGTATGAGGACATGCTCAGACAAACGGCAAGTTGCATACCTGACGAGCTCTGGAAAGGAAGGTAGCCTGTATACCATACATTGCGGTAGTAGCAAGCGACGGCGACAATCCAGATCCAGAACACCAGGGAGGAGAAAACATTGATGATTGCCCACGACGGGATCAGCAGTGGTGATCCGACGTAGGAGATCTGACTCCCTGGCGAGTTATTAGCCTAGCTGTGGCACAGTCATGGGCCGGGCACTTACAGTCAAACGTGATAGGCAGCAAGCCCATACCACTCTCCATGCCGAAAAGCTGATTGACCACCGTGCTCTTGGGGTTGATCCAACATGGAAAAGTGAAATAGCTCAGCGCTGGGAAGATGAAATCCGGGAACCAGTACCAGCAGAAGGAGATGCAGAAGGCAAGACTGAAGAATGCGTAACGAGACATTTTCCACGTATCCTTACTACTTCTCATTAGACCTTTGACCTCTTCCTGGATATAGCAGAAGCATACTTACACCCCTTGTAGATCCCCTTGAGCCAAGTTGTGCAACGTTGTCGTGAGCGAAGTCGTGCTCAGCACACCCGGCCAGATAAGTTCCTTAGGGGCCACTACCACGGACCGAAAGAAGCCAGCCAGGCAGAAGCCGACCAGGAATGTTCCTAACGTGATCAAGATCTGGAAGCCCCAGCCAGCTTTGTATCCGTAAAACATCTGTTGTTCCGTCAAGACGTCTGCTCCTAGTCGGACGTAGATACTGAGGTTCGACATGATGTAGACTAAAACGTGCTCCTATATCGAGTACCTATTAGCACATGTTGCACGACAAGTCAGGCGTACGGCTATTCATTGCTCACCTTCTGGTTAAACGGCCCAGGATTCAAGTTGAATCGGCACACGCCGAGATTGACATCCCAGCTCGGAAGGGTCTTCTCCCACAGCTTGCCTAGCGGGTACGCCAGCAGCAAAGTCACGGAAGAGGATATTGTGATGGATGGTTTCCGAAGAGTGTAAAGTGTGTTCAGCCCACTGGCCACAATACAGAATCCTATACCGAGAACCCACATTCTCAGCGTCAGGATAGGTTCTGTTGGGTCATCTTCGTGGATACCGATGCCTGCCGCCCGTAGTACTTCGGTCTGGGAATCTACCTCGGCTTGTGATTGTGTTAGCAGCGACAACAGGGGCAGGGGGTGAAGCAGAAAAACTCAAACTCACCACGGTCGGTATCCTCGACAGGGTAGACACTCTCCTTGTCGAGACCATCTTTGGTGTCGGTGGCCATTTCCGCACCAAAATCAATAGCTGAATAAGACCAGGACCATGGAAAGTTATCAGATCAGATAGGTGGCATCAGATAAGATCGATCCCGGGCCGGCGTGTCTTAAATATATCCAACAAAACTTGCCAACATGCCAGGTCACCGGGTGAGGGATTATTCTGCCACGGATTGTCGGCACCCACAAATCTCCCTCGGACTAACCTAAGCCTTAGTGGGCCGTGTTTGGACGAAAACACCCCAGCCCTATAAGGCGAATGGGTGCCTGTGGTTCCGGTGGACCCTTCGGGTTTCGTGTGCCCGCGCAAAAGCTTTCTTGGCGACTTGGCCGTGATCCCATCGACCCGGAATGTTGCAACCTGGGAAGATATTGATTCATGGTGATGACCTGAAGGAAGGATTCTGTTCAAGTGCCTGTACAACCTGTTCACGATTTAGCAGGTGCATTGTCCCAATTGACTAGGGTGTAAACACTTCTGCCCAGCGCGCAAATGAAAAAAAGGGGCATCGTGAGGAGATTGCATTTCTCCCGTGGTTCATACCGCGCTAGCGTGGTACTCGCATGCTTAGCGGGTATTGAACGTCAAATCACTGGCCATATTAGCGAATCAACTGAGACAAGGCGCCTTATCTGATCCCTTTTGCCCGGATGATTGTGACTGCTCGGCGCAGTACGTAAGGTAGTTGCATTTCCGCGGTTTCCGCGTCATTCGATGGTCCCAAGTCTGCCTCTGGAGGTTTCCTACAGGAATTGGAGTCATAACGGTCCTCAATTACTGCGTCAACCAACCCCCAAAAAGCTTACTCACGTCCTCATCGCGCTCATATCATGAGCCGACAGACGCAACAAGTCGGAAATCCTTCCACAAGTGGCATTCATAACGGGCCGACAAATGCAGTCCCTCCAGTAATATCCTGTTCAAGGCTAATGTAACACTAACACTCCTATCATCCTGCATCTGGCGTGATGCCTGTCTTCTCTTCAGGTAGACCTGTGGGCTCCTTCGCTGGTCACTTTGCCCCAACCAACGAGAGCGAAGCCGAACCTCCCGAGTGATCTTGGCGTTCAGTTGGAGAGGGGTTACTGATAGAAAGGCGAGGTTGGAGCTTAGTAGGTAGCAAGCAGGCGGGTATCAGAATTGCCGGTCGCTCAAAGAAGGTTAGTCACGCCGTAGAGTAATTTCGGACGAGTCCACAACTTCATCGTCTTTTACTTGTTTTGTCGGCGTTAAGTCCAGGCTTCGGGGATATTGTTGAAAGTTCTTGATTCCCTGGTATTCCTGGATGGGACTGCGAGCAGGCCTTTCCACCGGATGCATGGCATCATGCCTCGGGCCTTCTGATCCGTCGTCCCACTCGACGAACGGTCTTGGACAACTCGATCATTCCCTTCAGCCTTACGGCAAGGCTGACAGATCAAGCATTTGATTGCGTAATAGTATGTGTCTGCACTTAACTGACGACCGGGGCTGGCCAGTCCATCGTTGAGTGATGATAAATGCGATTCGGAAAGCAGCTTTCCGAGCAGCCAGGGTTGTGAAGTTGATGGAAAAGATCACATCCTCGTAATGGCAACTAAGTAGCCAGTCGCACTATCATGCTCTGGGGTAAATAGATTCTGACGAAATCAGTCATACGGACAACTGCTGCTAATGCTAAGATGCGGTTGATATAACAAATCTCTGTCATGTGGACCAGTTGGACGAAGAATGAGGGACTGTTCTCGCAGGGTAGTTTTCGTACATAACGGTAATCCTCTATCCAGATTGACTAACATACATTAAGATGGCTGTATGCAGCTATATAATCCGGGTATACTGCTAATCAGCCTATCATGTTCTTGATATCAACAGGTGGAATGAGTCATGATTCCAGCGCCGAAAGAAGCCAGATTAAGCGACCATGGGCAAGATAACCTTTTCAACAACAGCGGGTGAGCCACGAATATGGAAAGCTTGTTGATGAGGAGTTTTATCACATGCTCGACATGCTGACATCACTGCATCTACGGAATAAGGGGATTTCCATTATTCATCTTTAGTTGTAATTATCCCATCAAAACATCCAGCTCATATTAACTATTAATTGGGAATATAATATACTTCGTGAGGAAGAATGTCTTCAGCAGCGACAAACACACAACAACAATCCACCCCGTTCCCCTCCGCAACATCAGAAACATCAGATCGCTCCGCTTCAAACACACAGCATGACCCCCAACTTTTCCAACCGCATTATTTCTTCTTCTATGGCAGCCTCAGCGACCCTTCCTTCTTAGCAAATGTGCTCAATCGTCAGGATAAACCGGCCGTCCGGCCAGCGATGATAATGGAACACGGAATGAGAATGTGGGGTGAATTTCCGGCGCTGTTGGATGGATGTCCCGAGAAGCCGATTTACGGGGTCGGGTATAAGGTGCGTTCGCAGGTGGAGGAGGATCGCTTGGCAGAGTACGAGACGGATATGTATCGGAAGAAAGGGTGTCTTATTGAGTTTAGGGATGGGTTGAAGGTCCCTGGGGTGACGTTTGTGTGGAATGCGGATCCGGGGCTGTTGAAAGAGGAGGGCTTTGATATGAAGGACTGGTTGTTGGAGCAGAAGGATAGTCGTGGGGAGGGTGAGGTGGAAATATGAGGCTTTGGGCTTGGTACTCCTCAGATTTCGCGTGTAATGATGCTTAAGCTTCTTTTAACATCTCGTACTAATGCTGTCTCAGATCGGTTTCTGACGAAATGGAAGATCGAAGCTCCTTTTTGTACGGGTATCGTTTCCTCCAGACGTAGCCTGCTGGGCCGCATCATTTGCTTCGTTTTTATTGATGGTACTCTCGCCACGTTGATGAGTCTCGTCTCCCTCATGTCTCTGGTGTAGCTTGTGCTTCGCACCGTCCACCTTCTCTTGCAATGCGCGCACCTTTCGCTTAGCCCGCGTGTAGCCTTCTATACCTGCCAAGACAGCGTATGACTTGCTGATTGAGACGTGTGACATATCGACACCTTGGTCCTGTAGCGAGTGGATGAAGGCGCGGAAGTTGGCGGCAGGGGGACGATAATGGCCACTGTTGATGTCAGCTGAGGCACTAGAACGTAACGAGGGTACATACCTCAAGGGCGCTAGACTACGTAGCTGTCCATTTCTTATTCTAATCAACCCAGCAGCTGCGATGCGAGCCCCTCGCAGAAATGAAGAGTGCTGAAAGGCCCCGGACTCCTTGATGCCGACGAATAGCCGGAAGGTAGTATCAGCAACCTGCCTTGTTAGCCACTACATCACAGATCGTAGAGGGATAAAAAAATGACAGCGACAAACTTACAAAGATCCACATATCCTCCTTCTTCGACGACTTCCCCTTCAAGGTCTTAAGGATCGTTCCCGGACTAACATGTGCCAACTTCTGTCCCACCTTTGTCGCCTGATAATCATCCTTCTCCTGCTTCCCCAAAGCATCCTCATGTTCACTAAGCGAGCTATATCCTGACGATGACTCCAACGGATCACTCATCTCCGACAAAACAGGACTTCCATCATCCGTATTGCCCCTAAACCTCGGCGCATCCTCCTCAACGGGCACAACGCCCCTCAGACTATCCTTAAACCGGGCATTATCCGTCCAAATAAGCTCCCCATTCTTCGCCCACCGAAACTTCCCCGCCTCATCCACCTCAACCAGATAATTCATCCGCTCCTCTCGCGACAAATACCTCACCTGCTGTCTCTCCAATTTATCTCTCGGACACTGAGGCAAATCCAACCCACTTCCCTCCCCATAGTCCAACCAGTAGAAGAAATTCTGATTCGTAGGCGAATTCTTCCAATAGATATGATAGACCCGCAAATTACTCCCATGTCGGTGTTTCAAGTCCACCATTTCCAGAAAGTATTGCAAATCCATCATCTTGGCCGTAGTGCCAGCCGGGAGATCATGATGGAGAATACTGGGCGAGGAGCCCTCCGTCCCTGAGCCATCATCGCCTATAGTATGACTGCCCGTCCTAGCTGTCTTCGACTCGAGATCCTCATCGTCATCCCCTCCAGCGCGCTTCGCGACGCTCACAGCGCGGAGCCAATTCCGACGTGCGTTCGCGGTGCTATCAAGGTCTTCAACTGGCGCAGATGGTCGGTGTAGTTGTCGCCATTCTGCTTCTTTCACGGCCTGTTACAGCGACAAGACAACAACATTTAGCATGGTTCCTAGAAAGCGCAGGGTCGGGAAGAGCCTACATCTTTCCATCGTGACGTCGACGCAGAGAGATCTAGTCCGTGAAGTTCCCGTCGCGTGCGATAGCCACGATATGTCCTCTATATTGGAGTTATTGTTAGAGGTCTGGCAGGATGTAGCGAGAGTAGAGGCCGACCTGGATGGTTTGCGCCGCTCTCGCTCGCTTCTCGGTGACGTCATGGTCAGGGACATGGCGGGCAGCTGCGGTCGCGGGGTCCACAGACCCGCTGTTGCTGCTGGGTTCCACGGCAGATGCCATGGATTGGATTAGGGGAGTAGGTGATGTTATTTAGGGGAGATGCTCTGGAGCCTGCGGTAGGTAAGAGTGAAGAGAGGATCATGAGCAGAAAGGGTAGCTTGAAAACGGGAAAGAAAAGATTGATTGTCATTGCGCCGAGCCAAGCCTGGGCGTTGGCGGGGCTGTGTAGATCCTGCCAAATGCCAATTCAATGTACAACTTTGTATGTAGCTGTCAACCAAATGTATACTCTGGACTATTCACATTTACATAGACGCACTAATTAGCCACTCCGGCTAAAATTATTCTAGACAGTCACTCTCCTCGCTCGAAGATACTCATAATCCGGCATCGCATCACTGACCGCCTTCTCGATCAACTGCGCCATTTCCTCCCCAAACTCCAATTGCCACTTCTTAACCTCTGTGGGAATGTCCACCACAGCTGGCTCTTTGCTCTTCATAACACCCGACGATTCATTTAATGTCGACAACATAACCGACTTTCCTGTATCCCAGTCAAACACGCCCTGGGAGGCCCCATTCGGTCGTGCGACGCCATCCGCATGCACCCCGCTCTCCCATTGGAATTGAAGCTTGCTAGGGTCGAGTCCTGCTAGTTGGCAGAACTTGGTGATAGCATCCGGGTTGTGGACCACATCGTAGGCATCCAGAAGCAGTGGAGTAGACCCGGTCTGCTCGAGGGACCAGTCGAAGAGTGACCGGGTCCAGTGGAGGGTCATGTTGGTGAGCAGCGTTCCTGCAAGTATCTTGGTGTCCATGACACCCATATCGGAGATCTTATTCATGGCGCGACAGAAAGAGGGGAATACTGTGGCTGGATGGCGGATGATGAATGCCATTGTCCATGTGCGGAGGTATTCGTCCGGAAGGACGGTTTTGTTGTTGGTGGAAAATGTCCTCGTCGTGCCATACGTGCTAGGGACGTTGACGTGGAAGGTGGAAAAGTCATAAGGACCCTTCTCGGGTCCGTGTATAGCTTGCATGAAGGCCATGGGGTTGGAAAGCCAGAAGGAGTGCTCCTTGGCGAACATGGTCTTGTTCTCCTGCTCTGCTAGAGCGCAGGTCTCCTCTAGATGGTCAAAGCATTCTTGGAAGGTTGACTGGACCTCGTGTTTCGCTTCATTGGTCCATTCAGAGGGGGCCTGTGTGAGGCGACCGTCTTTAGCAACGGCGTGAAAGGCGTCGTAGAAGAAATAGCCACCCCGATCGGCTGCGAAGGCGTTAGGTTGGCCGGGGATGTTGAGGATCTTCAGAAGCAGATTGGACGCAGTGCGGGGAACGCTGACCAAGAGAAGACGGCGAGGTGAGTTGTGGCTTTCCATGATTGTCGAATCGATTGATTGATAAGTCCAATTTAGGTTATACTAGGGCCGTTCCTTATTCTCTTGTGTCTAGATTGGCTGCGGACAGAGCAATTGGAAGCTTAGAATATTGGCTCATCTTGGAGCTATATGGCGTGATCAGGTACGTACTATATATATGTTAGCTTGAATAGCTGCCAGGGAATCTACCCTGGACCGTTGCAACAACCTGCAGCGGAGCTTCGCCCCTTTCGAAGCTCCGAGAAGTGGAGGCCCCAAGACAGCGTCGCATTGGACTAGCCCTGAGAGGTAAAGCCGGGATGCAGACATGGGGAGAGTACGGCTTTCGGCTTTAGGAACGTCCGAAAACAGAGAAAATGGGGTATAGTAGAGTATGCTATGTGGATAGAATCCCCAGCCGATAATAATGGACAAACCCCGGCCCGGGACAATTGTAGTATGACAAGCCGCAGATCACCGTTGGAGTGGAGACGGCAGGTGCTGATTAAGTAAAGGGATTTGCTGCCGATTATGCCAGGTCTCGCCATATGTGGCGGCTTTGGCTCCGTTCAGCTGGGAAGTTGATTGTTAGCAGTTGAAACTTCGGACATAAAGAACCTGAACTTGTCGGATGTGTGCTAGAAGCTGGCTAAGCCCTTCGAAAGAGTCGGTCCAAACAACTCCATGGTATACTAATCGCAGTAGCTGGCCCAATTGCTGGAAGATCTATGAAATATCAAGTGAGGGGCACAAGTAGTAGAGACGCATTACTTGACAACTTAAGTAACTATAGGACTAAGTACTCGTGTGAAGTGCAATGGCAATGTACGGAGGAATGATGTTTCAGTCATATAGTATTTCCAATTCATGTGGTGAAATTGCGGAGTATAGCTTGAATGTAAATTCAGGTTTCGCCTAGCGTTATATTTTCATAAAGCCTATGAAGAGGTCCTAAGATAGTTGGCATAAGAAGTCTTGAACCTCCGTGATTGGGGAAATAAACCTGGGGTGGCCTCAGCATGATCGAAGCGTGGGCTGCCTGTTGATCCCGGATCCCAAGATCGTGACCCAAATAACAATCTAGATACGAGTCTCCTGGGTGTACACCATATAAGTATCTTAGTCAGTCGTGACCTCGTGTGCCCAGCCGTGAAGTTCCGAGTATTTGACGAGGCTGCAAGGCATATTAACCTGCCAGTCAAAACTCAGATGACGGCACAATGTCAATGAAGTAAGACAAGCTTTTGGTTCCGAAATGCAGAGAAAGGAGTGGAGGATCGATTGACCTCCATAAACCCTTATTGTTGTTCGGTCTCACATCACGCTGTTGTGTCAGAGACTGGCTCAGCCTGTGCTTTCGGCATCTGGTCCAGCACATCAGCTTTAGTGCCTTGGGCTTTCTCCTTGGCTGCAAGCTTTGCCTGTCTATGAAGAGCACGCGGAGCCATGCTACCTGTTTTGGCAATGGCCAAATTCCGCTTGCGCCGACTGTGCCAGGGTCCATCATCCGATTGCCGGATATAATATCCTAGATCAGCAGTCGGATCCCACTCTGTCTGGGAAACGCCAATTCCCAACCATGAGAAACGATTTCCATTGTACTTGATATCCCAGTCATCAGCACGTGGCTCTCTCATTGCCTCAAGATAGTGTAGAGTGCTTCCAGGCCAAGTCGTGGGAACGCGACCGCCGATGGTATGGTTGTTGTGGGAGTTGCGGCAATTATCCGTCCAAACGGCTTTTTGCATGAAGGAGCCGACATGCTCCTTGAACTCAGCGCAGACATCCCGCTTAAGAGCCATGCTATGAATGGGCTCCGTTTGGTAACGGTCGATAAAGGAACAGATGTAGTCTGCTTGAGCTTCAATCGCGACCATGGTCGGACCATTGGAAACAGGCGTGTAGGGGCCAAGCATGGTAAAGGTGTTGGGGAACTCGGCAATACCTATTCCCATGTAGCCCATGATCGACTCGGCCCATTCTGTCTGCAGGTTGCGACCATTGGGTCCAATGACAGGGTAGCGCGGTATGTAGGAAGTGTCAAACCCGGTGGCACAGATGATAATGTCGCCTTGATGCTCCTTCCCGTCTTCGCTGACGCAACCAGATGGTGTTACGGATGTCACACCACTGTAGACCACTTCGACGCTCTCTTTTTTGAGGGTCTACCACGCGTGTTAGTATCACCTTGAACAATCAGGGGTGTGGAGTCCTCACATTTAGATACCTGAAGCCCGATGGCACCACACGCTTGCAACCAACAGAGAAGTTCGGTATTAAACGGTCTTCCATTTCATGATCTTGAAAGGCGTTCTTCATCACTGATGTCAGGAGACCTTTTGCCTGCTCCTGAAGGACCGTATCCTTGAGATACATGGCTGTTCGTAGTAGTCAGCAACAGTCACTGTCGATACGGGTACTGTCAACGTACTGAAGATACTATTCATCGTCCGTTCATTATCCCTGCGTAGCTCTGTCACGCTCTCCGGATTGTTCACAAAGTGCTCAATCTGCTTCTCGGGGAACTTGCCCGCCTCGGTGCTGATATCCGGCAGCAGCCACGTGGGCGAGCGGATAAAGATTTTCACATTGTTAACAATAGGTTGAATGGCAGGGAGAATCTGAACAGCTGATGAACCCGCCCCGATCAGCAAAACATTCTTCCCTTCGAGCGATACGCTCTCATCGTACATCGCACTGTGTAGCTTGATGCCCTTGAAGTCGCCCAATCCCGGAATCTCGGGCCAAGCAGGCTTATTGAGATAGCCCGTCGCATGAATCAGAATGTGACACCAGTCATGTACTGTGTGACCCGTTTTCAGGTCAGTCACCGTCACTTGCCACTGGCCCGACTCCTCGATCCAGGTGGTTTCGGTGACGATGTGCGAAGTGTGGATGTATTTCCGCAGGCCGTACTTGTTCGCAAAATCGTTAAAGTACCCTCTGATTTCGCTGGAGCCCGCGTATACAGATGACCAGTCTGCTTTGGGTTCAAACGAGTAGACATAGTTGTGGGAGGGAACATCACAGGCGCAGCCTGGGTAGCGGTTTTCGTACCAAGTGCCAGAGACCTCAGGGTTCTTCTCGTAGATCTGCATTCAAGGTTAGAAGAGCAGGTATAGAGAACAGGGAATAATACTATAGGTAACGTACAGTGAGATCGTAGTTCTGGAAAGACCTCTGCAGCTTGTATGCCAGACACAACCCAGAAGCACCTGCACCCACGCAGACCACCTTGACATGTCTCTCGTTGTGAATAGCTTCCGCTCGAATAGGATCCATTGTAAGTAGGCCTTTCTTCCTTGTCAGTGTCAGTGAACCCAAACACAAGAGGAAGAGCTCAACAGTCAGGAGAAGAGCGAAACAAAAGCTGCAGATGACTGATGTTTAGCCGAGGGGCAAAGCGAGATCATTGCGACAACTAACTAAGGCCGTTGGATTAGTATGATGTCGACAAGCTCATTAGGTGGGGGCAAGTCGGCCATGCCGTCACGGTCTTCAGAGTTCAGACATTCGGAGCGAAGACTTCCAGCTCCACATGCATATGAAGCTAGTCGCTAAATCCCGAGCTGGCCAGACGGGAGCGAGCTGAGCATGCCACAAACAAAGCATAGAGTAGGAGACTAGGAGGTATGTACTATCTCCGTTTCCAGCCGTTGATGCTGACCGGTACTCACGGATACTCCAACCACCACAATCACCCTGGTTTTGGTGGGGTGCGCTAAAGCCAACGAGGCAGTGTTAGCGTGGCCCCGGTGGTGTTACATCTTGAAACGGGCTACAATGGGTATGTTCACCGCTCGAGAAAAAATACCGAAACGGACAGCCACGATTGCATTTACGCTGTAATTTTTGATAAATTTACACTCCCACTCTCCGAAAATAAAAATAAGAAAATCTACCAGGTGAGGTCCAGCTGTGGCAATCATTCAGATAGATTTTGAGTTTCCACAATAAAAAAAAAAATCAGTATAGAACAGGTTTCTTCCACAGTGGCGCTGTGCCCCCTTTTTTTTTTTTCTAAATGGAACGGGAATAAACGGATGTCGGAGAACCCGGACCTCTTCCGAACGTTACACAAAGCCTGAGGCAGTGAGGCCTGCGATTGCGTACTACTATGTTTGCTGCACCGCGCATAATTGGTTCTAATGCGCAATGCGCAATACACTCGTCCGTTGAAGTATTGGGAATATCTCCTCTCTTGAAATATTACAGTGTGGAATAATTCACATATTGAGTTATTCCACAATCTCCACTCCGCTTCCTGAAGGACAAGGAATGGCCAGATCGTGATTGGATGGCTTGCCTATCAGGATTGCCAGTGCATCTGTCAGTAGACTAGTACTTAGTACTTACCATTGAACTAATTTCTCACCCCTGTAGCAAATTAACAACAGTCGTCGAGAGTAGCACGTCTAGCAGGGATTACATACTAGTAAATTGGGTAGCAAACAATCCCTACCTTCAATATAGTCACGTTTGTAGCAATCCTATATAATTTCTCACAACCCATTCCGGCTATTCTCCTCACCGTCTTGTGTACCAGGTCAGCACTAAAACATCACCTCGTATACCCCAGGGTCTACCCCATCTCAGCCACCACCACCCAACACGCCCAATCCCGACAGCTAAACCCACAATGAGACAAAGATCCCGATCCGGACCCTTCCCTCCAAGCCTATCCATGGTCCTAACCGGCTTCCACCCCCGACACAATACCTCCAAGACGTGCCACATCGAGATCCAGTCCAAAGGAAAGGCGAACTCCGTGTTCTCCAACTCCCCGCCTTTCCCTCTTTCCGGGGAATCGCCTCCCCGGGATCGTCATTCCCGGAAACGGCATCTCCAAACATCATTCAGATCCAGAGTCCCTCCAATGCAGACGTAAAGATACGTGATTGACATCGGCCTCCCCGACCCCGATACTAAGATCTTGGGCTCAATGGCGAAAGACCGAAGTCTGGACTCTATCTTCATCCATTGTTGAGCCTGAAAGGGTCTTCCACAGGTCTCCTTTGCCAACAACTACGCCCCAATTGCCAGGAGGATGATGGTAGACGCCATCACTCCAATGTTCATACCAAGGTACTTGCGTCCCCGGCGCCATTGCACATAGTCCAAGATGCAAGCCAAGGTTCAGAACACAAAGGAGTCCTTGGACAATGAACTCGTCATGGAGACAATCAGTCAAACCATTGTCTTTTCATATTGATGGTTCTAGAGCAGAGATGGAACTCGGAGACACCGATGGTCTTCTGTCTGTGGCGCGAGCAAGATCATCGATTACGAGGCCTTCGTGTCTTTGGGACGTTGTAGAGGCGGGGGTCTGAAGATGTGGAGGTGCGATTAGTGGATTCTAGGGCCCGTCTGATAGGCTCTTGATCATGTCACGATGTGGCAGTAGGAGTAGCTGTTGACTATCGTAAGTAGATGGTTGACGCAATGGAGCTAGATCGGTCTACTTGTCAAGACGCGACTAATAATAGCACAAATGGTAATTATTCAATACCAGTGTGCATAAATTCGCTACGAATTGTTTAAACACCCGTAGGGTCAGTGAATGGTCCAGGCTGAGTACTGCAGAATAGCGGGCCCGGGCCTCGACGCACATACTTCCTAAAGAAGTATAGTGGTAATTATAAGGTCTTGCACCTGGAGGCGATAGGATCGACAGGCATGCATAACCGGCGACGAGGTCTTAGAGTAGCTCCGTGGTTGATTACGACTCCAGCCACAATATACCGTATTTCCCTCTTTACGAGGATGGCTTCCCCAAAAAGAAGTCACGTCATACGCGATATCGGCACGAAACGAAATAGAGTTTGCTGCGATCGAAGCGGACTGGGTCCGAGGACCTGGGACGTATGGTACCAAGGTTGGTTTGATTGCTGGGTAGAGATCTGCCTGATAACGTGGGTTGAGAGTTGGCTGTAAACCCAGGGACTTTTTCCGTTGCCGCGTCCTTTTTCCGATATCTTCCGGCTTTGGTAGTGGTGGTGTCGATCGCGGTTCCTGTATTGCGGATGGTATGATGGTCGCGAAGGAAGAGGGAAAAAAAAATCTAAAATTCTCCGATGTCCAGCGACGCTCGGGGATCGGCGGTGTCGTGGATTCAGTAAACCCTTTGCCCGCTCGATGATCTATAGGCCATTGCATAACCCCACTATACAGGCAACCTTGGCTCATGAGTGTCAAGGAATTGGGGGATTGGTCATCATGTCCTTGTGGCTGCGATGAGTTGGCGGAGAAGAAGTGACAGCATTTGAACCTTATAATGCATAGTTAGGGTGGACAGCAGCTTTCAGGGAAGGAGTTGTCATTGACAAAACATAGACTCAATTCCAGTGCGGGGAACCGAGGTAATTGATACTGTGTAGTTGCTAGTCGCCCAGACACCGTGTTGCTGTAGACTCGTAACAGTTTGACCCACACTGATTGCGAGTACAGACTCCGCGTGATCAAAGGGAGGGGCCCAGACTGCGTGTCGGGTTGGCGCAAATTGCATTAATTGTTAGATTCGTGGTAGGGTATCATGGCCCCTTCAATTAGGAAGAATACTACTGGGCTCCGCGAATGTCAGGATCCAGCTACTCAATGGTGAAAAGTGGAGGACGGCCTTCTCCGGCTGGAACGGCTCTGTCACCGTTTTCCCTGAACCATAGCCCCATCATTCCCAGCATTTGCACCCTCAATAATGGTGGTTGACATAGTTGACGCTAGATACGACCCCAAAAGGATGATTAAGGTTGCCTCCATGAGGCCATGTGGTTTACGTTGCGGCGCCACGGGCTAGGATCGTGCAGCAGACCACGTTGACTGGCGTCCAGAAGGCGAGTCCCAGCGTAGTTGCTCCACGATCCAGGTAGTCTGGACAAGGATCACTACGTAGTGTAGCGCCAAGGTGGACATTTCGGCCGCCCGGCGGTGATGCTGCAGGGGTCATCCATCGCTGATTGGAACCCAAACTATGATCGCGGGCTGGTCTCGCCACTCGTGCTCAAGTGGATAATGGGCATAATGCTTTGGAGTGTTTTAAATCAATATGGAGCAGAGTTGCGGTGCACCAACGGTTCAGCTAGCACTCAAATAATCATAGCTAGGTCATAGCATGGTATAGCCGGGGCTGATAGAAGTATGCATACAATCAAACCCCGACCAGAAGCGTCATCCCCGATGTGGCGGTGTAACGAGAGTGGCGTCTCCAGGCGAATAATCGAAAATAGTAGTTGTTGGTATCTTACAATCGGTTGCGAGATGATTCTGAAAGGTCGGACGCAACTGTAACACCACTGGAAGCGAGGAAGATATTCTTACGAAAGATTCTGGCTGTTTCCTTGACTAGTGATGAAGACTAAGTAGAGACGAGGAAGAGGGCACTGATAGCAGCATGTAATTCAATACCACCTGGTAAGTAAAGTATCTCCTCGGCACACAAGAAAGGGGGAGCAACAAATAACAAGAATAGTAACAAAACCAGGGGAAAACATCCCATGGTTTCCCAGTGCCACTTTTACCATTACAATACCGGTACATACTCCATCAAGCCACCGACTTCAGTCCCAAGGCAGGTAAGTTCCCGGCACGGCGCGGCGGAGGGCAACCACCAAACAACCCCACCCTCTCTAGTCTACTACTTTTATCCAACCCAACCATGGATGTCTTCCCACGCACGTCCCCACTTCTCCCCCCGTTGCCATAATGCGAGAAATGGTCCACGGTACGCCTTTCCAAGAATGGATATTCTACCACCTACGTACGGAGCTCCATACTCAGCTCTTGGCTTCTGCAGATTTGGACTCATTCCACAGAATAATCACTCGCTTGCGCTTCGATGATGACAACAGTGCGCCCTTGGAGACCACCGGTGCGCCGTGCCCGGCAACTCCCTGTCTAGCTCATCCGGAACCGCACGGCCCATGTCATTCATGGTTAGTAGGAGTGAAGGAGATTGGGCTCATCCACTGGACGGAGACATTTCGAGGATTGGTCATTCGACCGAACGTCTGTGAATCTCCGCTGATTGCTTATAAAGGAGCCATGCACGTCCCGGGGTCTCCTCCTGTCGGGAGAAGGTATAAGGTTGTCGACGTGCGTTGCGGCGGTACAACTACTCATCCCTTGCTCAACTAAGAATCACCACCACGCGTGACTAGTACACTACATACATCTTGAACTTTCCCCGACTTGGCTTGCCAAAATGGGCAGTCTTTCTCCTTTGCTTCCAGCATCGCCGCGCATGCTACCGCATTTCTTTATCTCGGTCCTCTATGCGCTGTTCTCCTCCCTCTTCAACCTAATCCCCGAGCATGCAAAAGCTCATCTTCTCAAGTCTGGCGGAGCACAGTCCTTCCAGTCATCGAGCTGGGAGCAGGTTGACTTTGAGATCCGTAACGTCCTTAACCACCACGGCCGGTATTGGTGGCACACCACCGGGTACGTGTTAAATCTGCTTCTGCAGGAGGCTGGCTACACAGAGCATGCGCAACGACGCATCCTAAGCTTCTTTGGCCGCTCGATTGCTCCGCATCTCGGGGTCGCAAATGAGCCTGACGCGGAAAGATGGCCGAGTTTCATGACGGACAACCATAACCCGATCGAGTTGAGTTGGGACTGGCATACTGGCAAGAAAGCACCGTCGGTTCGCTTCTCAATTGAGCCCGTGGGCCCCAATGCCGGCACGCAAGTGGATCCCGACAATCAATCTGCAGACGCGCTCTTCAGGAAGGTCTTGATGAGAGCATTGCCCAACACGAACAGGGAATGGTTTGATCATTTTGATCAAGCACTGGCCCCGGAACTGCCCCCCAAGGGCTGCATGGAGGGCCATCCATCGAAGATCTTCTACGCCTTTGACCTGAGCGAGGAAGACATCACCGGAAAGGCCTACTTCTTCCCCGGGTTCAAGGCCAGGTCCACGAAGCAGACAAATTTACAGGTCCTCGCACAAGCGATCCGCACGGCTCCTCACTGCACCGACAATGAGAAGCTTGGCGCATTTCGGATGTTTGAGGCTTTTGCCCAGGATCCCTCGACGCCGCCGCTGGAGATGGACATGCTAGCCATTGACTTGGTCCAACCGGCTGATTCGCGTCTCAAGATATACTTTCGAACGCGCGAAACCAGCTTTGCCTCCGTGCGTCAGATGATGACGATGGGTAACCGAATTACCACCTCGTCACTAGAAGTTGGACTGCGGAATCTGAGGCAGTTGTGGGACGGGGTTCTGGCGCAGACTGGCGTGCCTGATGATACACCACTGCCAGCTGCCAACCATCGCACGGGGGGCATCCTGTATAACATGGAGTTCCGCCCAGGAAGCACGGCCCCCAACGTCAAGGTGTATATTCCCGCCCGACATTACGCGCCAAGCGACTGGCATGTGGTTACAGCGTTGAACGAATACATGTATGGAGTTAACGGAAAGTCGGAACTGCCCATGCGTACCTATACTGAAACCCTGCGCAAAGTATTGTGAGTACCCCGTGTGCACATAGCCAAGTGCATGTTGCTAACAATCCACGCAGTACGCCCGACGCTCTCCAGCAACGTGGTCTACACACCTACATCGCCTGCTCAGTTCAGTCGGGTGGTGAGCTCCGGGTTGTGTCGTACATAAATGTGCAGAGCGAGAACTTCGCCACGGCATGAGCATGTGGCCATGACATGATGAATCATGAGAGACGTTTAGTGTATGTAACATATGTTTTCCTCACAACCAGCCTACAATATTTCTACTTCGTACTGTAACTAAACACATAACATATTCCTACCTTATCGCACTTTTGGTTTAGACTAGATGAAAGAGAAAACGCTTGCTTTGAGACACACCGTCACAGCCTGTAGAGAAGAATTCGTAGGATGACGCCTTCTGGTACGCTGGGTAAAGATACCGCGAAACGTCGAGGTCCAAGCAGCACGATGCAGCGAGTAGCGAACAAGCGAGAAGTTAAGCGTGGGCTCCACTCGAACGGGCCACACCCGAGCTCGTGTCATTACTGATAACCTCGGATCACGTTGGCCCACGCAAACCCGAGTCGGCTCGAGAGCGGGGTCTTCCGAAATTTTACATCTGCCATCGATGGATGGATGGTCTTGATGGAGGAACAGGCCTCCACCATGCAACTATTCCATGATCCCCGACTGCATGCAGCAACAGATACAGGATCCAATATTCGGAAAGGCGGGCTGAACAGCTGGAATGAAATCATCCTGCAGGTTTCACTTGGCACAGGATAAGACACGGGAAATTACCTCTCATGCCATGCAGAGGACTATACCCAGAACTGCCTCGGCCGCAGCTCTAGTGTCGGTGCTTGACCCACTGCAGTGACTCCTCGTGAGGCCTTACTGTCAACACGTGTCGGATCGACGGAGGGGCACCACGGCTTGGGGTTGAGATTTTTAATCATAACCCTTTCACTGTTTTTTACTCAACACGTGTGAGTCCATAGAGGGCATTCCACCATGTGCTTCTTTTTTTTTCTGGATCATTCCTCGCCGGTTATCCGGTTTCGAGATTCCGCCGTAGCCGCGAGGTATGCTATCTACTGCAGTTTCTCCGGCCAGGGCGGGTAATACTCGGAGGTGGCTATTGCCATGCCTAACAGAAGTCATAGTCGAGTTGATACAGCTGCAGAAGATACAGTATATGTGTCGGTGGGAAGACCGATAAGGCAGTCAGATCAAACTACGACCCTTCCATTCTCTGCAGCAGAATGTTCCATAAACCCAGTCTGTCAACGGGAAGAACAGCGCGGCGCCCGTATAGTTCCCACACTAAGAATCTTCTGGCGTCCTCGACGTTGAGACCCAGCTGGCAGGATCCAGAGGGGCAAATCTTCAGCGACAAGCCAGCCCTGAATTGTCACTCTCGCTATACTAGTTCAACCCATGTGGCGCATTCGTATGCCACCCGCGCAAAAATCAGTCAACAAAGATCAGCTGAATTGGGTCCTACGTAACGATCTATGTGGGCTTTCCCTACCCATACCGTATACCTTGATCTGGTTTCTTACCAGCATGGAGCCAACTTCACCCTGAGGTCTTGAGGGGTTCTCATCATCCGTCTTGTCGTGTTTCGCGACATGCCAGGAATGCGTACCCCGCCACCTCCATCCTGGCCAAACTTTCTGCTCTGCCGTCCATGGTGGATCCACCTGTCCTACCTGTTCGGGCCTTTCGTTCATAAAGTCAATGGCTCGCTGGATCCACTATGGTCCGGCTTTCAGCAGTTTATTACCAGGTAGAAAATTATGGCGTAATATCTCTCAATTCGAGCGAGCAGGAACTACTTCACACCGCTACATGGGGATATTGAACACTTATGTGAGAGCATCAATTTATCAACCTAAGCTTCTCAATCAATTCCTGCCCAAGTATTCAATTTGGTGACCAGCAATAGTCAGATTATACTGTTCCTCACCAGTATCTGCGAGATTATCTCATCTCTCTGACGTTGAGGGTGATGTGATCACCTGATATAAGAACCAGTTACTCCTAGGTACCTACAGTAAACAAATCGATAACAACCTTCGTAGTACAAGCAGTATAGTATGACCTTCCTCACGTAACGTCAAGTCTTCCTTCACACTGACGAACTCAGATTTCCAGACTGAAGATTTGCCACTAGCTAAACAACAAGGAAAGATGGGACCCCCTTACTCTATTCTAGTCATAGTGCATGTTTATTACAAATCCGCACTTCCCCGCATATACTACTATGCGTCGAGCATGGGAATATGGCTCCGTGTCATCTGTGGTGATAACATGTTCAAGTACATCTTCTATTATCTATATATATTTGGTATTATTCTGTAAATCCTGCTAGTTAGTGTCGATCAGGTGACTTGTATATCAATCACATTATCAGTCCTTACATTGTGAGGACGATCTAGTTTGGGGGGGTGGGAAATTGGATTTGTGACTTTTGTGTGTCTTGGACACGTGATAATACTATCTGAACAATATGGTACCTACTGTCCGACAGACATATGTATAGTATTTAAGGGCATGTAATTAATTTGGCATGCTATGAGAACTATTATTCTTCATCCCGACTACAATGATTCCCTTTTAACATACACCACAGGCCCCTTATACACCCTCCTCCCTTGAACAACATACATCGCCAAACTAATCACAAACACCCCAACGAAGAGCACCACGCTCCAATTGAAATTATTCAAAGTCACAGGGATCTCAGTGGGCCAAAAAGACCAGAACAGCGCAAAGATCACATATACCAACGCTACCGCATTGATCCAGATCCCGTGCTTCCCTAGACTCCACCGTCTCGGGGGCAACGTCTCGGGACATACGATCTTGCGATACATGACGCAGCTGATGGAGATAGCGTAGGTCCACATGAGAGCTGCGACGTTTAGGGAGATGATGGCGTTGAAGGCGGTGTCGGAGCCGATGTTGATGAGAGAGAGAAGGCCGCTGATGATGCATGATAGGGCGATGGCGTTCACGGGGAGTTTGTAGTGCTGGTTGACTTTGGAGATCCAGTTTGAGAAGGGCAGGCCCCTGTCGCGCGCGAATGCGTAGGTCTGACGGGCTGTGGAGGCGTTGAAGAGGATGTTGCTGAAGATGACGGGGATGAGGATTATCGCGGTGAGGCCATTGACGCCGGCGGTGGAGACGGCCTGTTTGAAGACGTAGATGAAGGGGAATCCGGTCGGGTCGTCTAGGGCATCTTTGACCGAGGGCATTGCGAACATGAGGGTGATGATGAGTACGAGGGCTAGGATTCCGTTGCTGAAGTAGCCGCCGCAGATGGCCATGGGGACGTATCGGCCGGCGTCGCGGACTTCTTCGGACATGTGTGCCGTGGCGTCTGAGCTGAGGGATCCGTAGATGGCGGATATTTGCCCGATCATAAGTGCTAGTCCGACGTTGTTCCAGCCGCCGTAGAGGCTGAATTCGGTGAAGACGGCTTTCGCGGACTGACGGGGTGCCATGGCCCAGAGGACGACGATCACCACTACCCAGCAGATGGTGTGGAGGGCTAATAGGGCGTTTTGTATGCGGGGCATCCAGCTGGCGGCGTAGACGTTGAAGAAGTAGATGATCAGGATCATGGCGAAGACGAAAAGGGTGCCTTGCCATCGTTTGGGATCGTAATCGGGGTTGCGCACGCTGATGAGCCCTTGGATGATTGTGCCAGTCAGGAAGGACCCTGATGCGGCGCCGGCTTGCCATGCGAGAACGGACATCCATCCGGTGATGTAGCTGAGGAACTTTTGGTATCGTGGAGAAGCGAATTCGGACACCCAGTGGTACTGGCCTCCTGATGTTGGAGCCATGGACGCCATCTCCGATAATGAGACGATGATGAAGCCGAATCCGACAAAGGTCCACACGTATGTCCACACCAAACCAGCCATTCCACCATCTTCGAGACCTTCATAGTTGGATCTAGTCACACGGATGCGTTAGAGATGAAGAATTGTGGGCTGTTAGGATGTGATAGAGAGGGGATGTGGTACATTAGAATAAACTCCCAGGTGGCCTGCAAGACCGAAGCGAAACTCAGGGCAGCTAGAGGTCGGAGATTTCTCTAGATTCAAATACGAGGTTAGCCACTCATCCTCATTTTGCTCGTCGCTGAAGATGTGCAGATATTTTACCTTGAATTCCTGTGCTTTGCCCATGCGATTCATATCGCTATGGTCATATCGCGTGCCGGCCTCCCCACTACTTCGCTCGCTGGCTTCGATTTCCAGCGGATGACAGCCCGTCGTCACCACTCGGTCGCCCTTCTGAATGCTGCCCGCTTCCCCTGTTGCGGACGACATTTTGGAACACTGTCAACACGTTGAATTGAAATGAAGAGAGATGCGGCTGTGGAGGCTAACTCTGCGACCACAGACTAGATACGAAACGGGAATTCACGCTGTGTGACGTGAGGGATCAAACAAAGAAACCGGCGGCCATTTCCGCCAGCATCCCCTTATTTTCCCTGCAACTGGCCGTTAATTCACTGAGCTGTCTTTCAGGTTAATGGGAAGGAATTTTCTTCCCTCATCATGACTCAAACTGTGGCAGCATCCGGCGTGGGGTTTCCCCAGTCTTTGTTCTCCGACCGCCATCAGGGCCCAGGGGCCCGTGGCAGCAAGGGTCGGAACGCACTCACATGGTCCATGGTCCCCCTCCCGGAGAATGTGGCCAGTCAACATGGATACAAGATGTCGATCTCTGCGGCCTTGATTTCCCAAGGAGGCGCAGACACTCGCACTGTGCTGGCGACGGGAGCAACAGACAACGTGAGCGTGTGTAGCACGGCTCACCAGCTGCGACACTTTGACATGCCCGCCACTCGATCGGCACTCTTGGCCTGCAGGGAATTTCACCCCCCTCTTTCCATCGTGACGAGATGATTGATAGTGTTGACAAGGGAGACACTTGATTACCAGGATCATCTAATTCGAAATTGGGCCATTAAGGAAGGCAGGTTTGATTGCTAATAGGGAACCTCCGGATAACCTCGATGGTCATTGGACCGACCATCTGCCATGGCACGAAATTAGGGCGTGGCTGCAAACCCTTGCCTGAATATTTGCTCTCTTCTTTGATCTCCCTCCTCAACGCAGGCCCAACGTTGTTTAATCGGGTTAAACCCAGACTAACAAGGACGGCTAGGCGCGTGGCATGAGATAGGAATGTCTGGATGTGATCAGGTGCAGTGGTGATAGGAATTAAAGTTTTGGGGGCCCATTCTCGTGGTGGATGGCCACTCTCAGCGAGTCAGCGTGGCCAGCTCCGAAAATAGCTCAATTCTACCAACGCGCGATGCGGAGAGGGAGGGGTCGATTAGCAGTTGATCAGCCGGGATCCAGTTTTGCTGTGCTTATTCGCGTCGGTATCCACCAACGACATGCGATCGGGGCGTACCGTCAAGACTTCGGACTTTCTTGGTGGATGTCTGCTTGTCCTACCGTCCGGCACAGAGGGGTGTGCCAACAATAATGGCTGCCGACCGTTCTTTTCACTTATCGCTTTCATCAGAACACAATCGATCGGGCCATGTGTGCTTGTCTAGGGTCACACATATATCCTATCTTTTCTCGTATAAGCATACCCCCTGTCCGACCAGCTCAGAAAATAACAAACAATCGATGCGTCTCCAACGCGACTGCGGAAAGGCTAAGGTGTCAAGGAGTCACTCAACCCTGTCGGTCAAGGCTGTCAGCCGCAGAAGTAGCCGGCACACCGACCTTACCTCCTTCATTTCAGCGACGCGATCATCCTCGAAGAACCTGTCGGTAGATAATACCGCAATGTCGTGATGGTTTCCCTTCAACAGAAGTGACAGCGGGTTTCAGTCGCAGTGCCGCCTATTGCGATGGCCGTCCTGGCCTCATCGCTTCCTCCTGGAGTTTCCCCTCCATTAACGGAGGATAACGACCATAACCATAACGGACTCGTCGTCATCGTCACTTCACTGGCTCTATTCTTGGTTCTTGCCTCGCTGGTTATCAGATTATTCGCATCATCGAAAAGAGGCCTCATGCTCCAAGATGACCACGTTCTGTTTGCTGCAGCAGTATGTCAACTTCCTCTAGGAGAGCCCGTTCACACACTAATAAATCCTCCGGCTCCACCAGATATGCGCTTGCATCCAAGTATCACTTGTGCTTCTTCAGGTTCACCATGGGTGGGGCAAGTCAAAGGAGCTGATCTCATCCAGTGACTATACGCAGATGGAAAAGGTACGTTATCCGAGCGCAGAGGCCGACTAACGAGCTAATCGCCTTAGGCCGGATACGCAGCGGATCTGTTCTACGTCCTTATCATTGGCTTGTCGAAAATCGGCACCATGCTATTCTATCAAAATCTTTCCTTGCAACGTACGAAGTGGATGGTTAATGTCATTATATCCTCGTGTGGCCTGTGGGCCATGGTCGCAATATTGCTTCTAGCCATTCGATGCAGCAACCGTCCTTGGACTGACATTGATGACGCCTGTGCTGGGTTTTATCCAAGATGGCAAGCCATCTGTGCGCTTGACATTGTTTTGGAGGCCGTGATCCTGGCTTATCCCGCGATAACAATCCGAAACGTGCAAATAAGTATGAGCAAGAAGCTCAAGGTCCTGTCCATTCTCAATTGCCGGATCATGTATGTCACCTATCTACATATGTGCTGAAGCTCAGTATGCTAACACCACTCCCTACACTCCAGATTGATTCCCCTTTCCGCCGTGCATCTATACTATATCCACTCCCAAATATATTCCTCCAACCCCTCGCTTGTCGCGACCTATGCTACCATGGTAGCGGAGCTCCACCTCAGCCTCAGCATCGTTCTTCTGACAGTCTCATGTTTGAAGATGTTCGTGGCAGTCTACGAGGATGATCATGGGTTCGCATACACGGAAGATGCTTCGAACTCTCAAAGTCGCAGCGGTCGCACCCCACAGAAGTCGTGGCGATCCTCTCGCCCGGTCAAAGATCTGGGCTCGTTCGGTAGCAGCTGTATTGAAGAAGAGCCAATCTTAAGAACGGAAGCGACCGCATCGGCTTCGTCACCACCACTTGAAGGGCACCAAAGCAATGCAATATTGAAGAGTGTACAGATATCGGTCACCCGGGAGAGCATTGAATTGGGCGAAATAGCGGGGCCATCTTCTGCTGCGATCCCCAGGTTGACATGAGTTTCTTCATCGGTGAGTTAATTGTATGATTCAGTATGTCTCAATTGTCAATAGATAATCTTAATGAATTGGATCGTTTGTGGGTAACTCACATCCCATTATATAATTCGTACTGTCCGTTAATCGTGCGCCGTGAACATGTTAATCCTCCCATTACTACGTTGCTACATACGGAAAAAAGGGATGACAACGACGATCTAGTGAATTCGGTACTTGACTAATGCCCGACGGCCCTCCGATATATTCTTCCTAAGGAAAACGTTGATGAGTGGCGTTGCTGAAGACGCATGTACGATTCCAATGTACCAATGCATTGGACAGAGGTGACATGTATCCCAATCGGCCTTATTTGCACTTCACTGCCTGATACCGGAAGGCTTCTTGTGCTTGTTCCTCCCGAATAAGTTGCACTCTGTTATGGGCTACAGCCTAGTTGTCTGACTGCCAGCAAGCATTGTGAGTACCCACCCATTCAATTGTGATGATACAATCCCAGAATTCAACGCAATTGTTTACTGAAGCACAACTGTAGCTACAGCGTCATGAGCCAACCCGGTATGGGAGGTTACTATGTTGGAGACAAAAGAATGGTGGATAAAACCTCACTTGCAAGTGAAGAGGACAAATAGCCTAAGAAGAACTGCAACCCGATGGAATGCTTCAGCCAGCCCAGAGCGATCCCCGCACTTCGACGCCTCGGGCTAAAAGCGACCGGGCCCGTGCGGACATTCCCATTCCTGGATTATTTACTCCCCTGCATGCAGACCCCACTGTTTTCTTTTGTTTGACTTGCACATCAGGCGAGCGTGCAATTCAGGCTGTTATTTTAGCGGATGTCACTTTCCATGTGTCCGGTGTACATGACGAACCGCAGACGACGGCCGTGGTTTTGAGTGTATGGTTTACTTAAAGTATGCCGAGATTGCCTTCCAGTCATCACGCACGCTTTGAACCTACGATCGGCATTTGATTCGCCTCTCACGACAATGATACGCCTGGTCTGCCTAGCTTTGTTCTCCTATGCTGTCTGTAGTCTTCCAACCCAGGCAAACCATAATGAACAACCCGTGGTCGATCTCGAGTATGCCAAATATCAAGGCGTGCGTCTTGAAGGGGGTGTCGACGAGTTTCTTGGGATGCGCTATGCATCTCCGCCCATTGGTGATCTGAGATTCCGGGCGCCCCGGGATCCGTCTGCGAATCAAACCCTTCAGAGTGCGACGGAGGTAATATTTTGGCTTTCCAGTCTACAAGTCAACTGATACCCATCTAATACTCTTTCTAGTACGGGCCAATTTGCATCGGCGTAGACGAGGAAGAGTCGCCTGGCGAAATAAGCGAAGACTGCCTGTTTATCAATGTTTTCAAGCCATCCACAGCCACGTCTCAATCAAAGCTACCTGTTTGGCTCTTCATACAGGGTGGGGGCTACGCAGAGAACTCAAATGCCAACTACAACGGAACCCAAGTCATACAAGACTCTGGTGACGCGATCGTATTTGTAACATTCAATTATCGTGTTGGTGCCCTTGGCTTCCTGGCCAGCGAGCGAATTAAGCAGAACGGGGACCTGAATGCCGGACTGCTGGACCAGCGCAAAGCCCTCAGATGGGTCAAACAATACATCGAGCAGGTAATGCTTGTAGCCATGCAGATATTGCAGTGGTGCTGACGTTAACAGTTCGGGGGCGACCCCGATCACATCGTGATTCATGGGGTGTCGGCGGGTGCTGGCTCCGTTGCCTACCATTTATCCGCCTATGGTGGTAAGGATGAAGGGCTATTCATCGGCGCGATCGTTGAGTCGTCTTTTTGGCCAACCCAGCGAACAGTGTCGGAGATGGAGTTTCAGTTCGAACAATTTGTCAATGACACAGGCTGTTCTACTGCTCGTGATCCCCTGCAGTGCCTGCGAACACAGGACATTGCAACCATTCAGAAAGGGAATACTGCCTCTCCCTTCCCTGGGGGAAGCAGCTCCCCACTACCAGATTGGTACTTCCTCCCAGTTACCGACGGTAATCTAGTTCCGGAAGAGTTGTACAATGCGTTTGACGCAGGCAACTTCATCAGAGTTCCCGTCTTGGTAGGCGACGATACCGACGAAGGCTCTAATTTTGCCTACAACGCTAGCAGCAGTGC